GAAAGTCACGCCCCCCTTTTGGCGATGGCATGGGTGACGGAAAGCCAGAATACCGGGGGTACCGGGGTACCGAGGTCCTACCAGGCGGGCAGAAAGGACTGCCCCGAGGGGAAGACCAGTCAGACCTCGGGTGGGTCATCATTCTATGCGCTGTACAATACCACTCCGTATAGTTGCCACACGAAATGATCACGGGCAGACCGAGGCGCCAAAGAGGAATGGAAACCGAGCCTAGTGTGGCAGATGACAGCTGATGTACGGAGTAGGCGCAGGTTATGACGAAGAGCGCGCTTCGGATCGCAATAGCCCTCCATAGTGCCGATAAGGCAAACTGAGGAGCTGGGGTAGCCGTACCCATGCGGTACAACTCGCGTACCCAGATTATCCCAGGTATAATGGCCAGATCCAGTCTAATGCCAATAAGCCGACAGCTCATAAAGTGGCAAAGTCACGCGCAAGTCGACGTCACATGATGTGGGGGTTTCCCAACACTCCACCTCAGGGGCTTGTGACTTTCCCAAAAAAGCCTTCTTCCCATCTGATTCTCTGAAATCTCCCACTGGATCTCCTGGATTTGGACTATGTTAGTGCCTCGCCAATCACCTGAGTCCATGTGACACGGAAAAGGCCCCGGAGACCGCATTATTCCCCCGTTCTCTTATCTCGTTAGTGAATATTGTTTCTGTTTGTTGATTGAACCATACCTTGCCTTAGCTCATTGATATGCGCAACGGCTTGAGATGACAGCTACTTGTCCGACCCAATGATGTGAGCTAGTAACACAAAAACAGATACTAGCTTTCTAAATTCAATCCAATCTTCAAGCCTCAGGGGTATCCAGATTCCCCTCTCAGGCGAGTACCACCGTCATACAACATATTCGTTCATCTCCTATCGTATCATATACCCCCATTTAAGATAATGCGACTCATGCATGGGACGCAATACCGCCATGTTGATCAATACGATGATGTCCAATGCTTCTATCTATTCTAGGGTGCACATATGTCATGTGGCTGGACGTAACAAAGAGCTCTATCAAGGATTCGACAGCAAATAATCAAAAAAAGGATCTAGAAACCTTGTGATTTTTTACAATCGACAAACTAAGCTTAAATGTGTCACAGTTCCTGGGTCAACGCGCTTCGCGTCAACAAACCAACGACCAGAGCCGTCATTCTTCCAATGTGACGGGGCGCGACGCCGGTGATTATTACCACCTTGGACAGCCAAACATGTGGCATATAATGGTGTACGAGGGTGATTAGGATCTTCAATAATTTACTCTGGTTCATATCCAGGGCCTGAGCCCAGGGGGGATTACGTTTACTACCATGTCGACCTTGTGACTCTTTGTTTTGAATGTTGATATAGATCCAAAATTGAGCGATGATCCAAAGTTGATAGAATAGCGACCTCCAGGCTGCCCCGAGGAGTTCTCTTTGTATCACACCATCCAGGCAGCAAATCACATTCCTCCATTCGCCCACCTTAATTGTAACCCGCTTCCCCGGCATGGATGTCTGTGCTCAGATCAAATGTTAGAGTCTGATATGGCCTAGTCCATAATTCATTGATCTAAAAGGGGCAACCGATCAGGTATCAGGGATCATCCAAGACTTTGGTATATCGGGGTTTGAGGTTTAAGAGTTGACTGGTACGAGCAAGGGATACTTGCGGGCTACGGGAGTCGAAGCCGGGCATAGCTTTCTAGATTCACAAAGTCAGGTGAACAATTGATCGATGAGCTCAATCTAGAAGCATTGCTTCCAAGTGAGGCGAAACATGCTGTCAAGACCTTTTACCAAGTACGGAATACTTCAAGTGCGTAATGGTGCGTTCGTGTCCTTTTGTTCCCTACTCTGCAAAGATCGACTTAGTTATGGGTAATGCAGGTGACCTTCAACAAGGGATATCTGGGGAATCTTCCAGATCGGAACAAAGCTTGCTGTACCCGTGAGGCTGGTAGGCCCCGTGAAACTAGCTGAGACGAAGATGGGAGGTAGGTTCCTGAATCCTGCGATCCAGCCGGAAGTAGGACCTGCATATCCGGGACGATCATTTTCTTCCGAATGTCTTTAGCTTCTTTCATACATTTCGCCCTCTGCAGATATGTAGTCCACTTCTAAACGTCATGTTCTACTGGGACAGGTGACACCCAATATATCCCTATCCTAGACGAAGATCGCTCTGGACTTTGGTGTCGTGTCTTTTGTTTTTCATAACATCCCTCGCGCTTCAATATCGCGGTCTCATCTAGAACCTGTTACAGTATTTCGGGCTCAGTTGGTCATGTGTCTAATTCCTGTTGCTCGATCAACCGTCACAAACTAGCAAAAAAAAAAGCTACATCCATGCATGCCATCTAAAGGTCTAGCCCGTCATCTCTTCATAGTGCTGCGCGGGCCCTTGGTTCCGGATCGTCGACAGCTCCCTTGTTTGTAATGACGGCCCAATAATATATCCACCCTTGTGCTTTCTGCAGATCATGTTCCCAGGTTTGGTAGCCCTGGCATGTCGCTCTCATATTTTCAACGTCATGGACCCACTTCCCTTGATATTGACCTTGTAGCAGGGGTTTACATATACTTTGCTCCATACGGGGGAAGTACTATGCTTCATCCGCCACGTCGCCATTGCATACTGCGAGGAAAGCCTAGAAAGAAATGCACATTGACTGTTGGTTAGAGCCGCGTTCTATCTTTTTGCCCGTTCTGGGTGTCTGGTACTTGGGTTAGTGGGCAACAACCCCTGTCATGGCCAGGATTATCTCCATATTGTAGACTTCCAGACCCCTGATTCGAGATCTCCACTTAATTCATTTTGTGCGGAGCTCGCTTTCTAAGACCGAAATGGCAAATACAAAGCCCGAATCGTTCGTTTTCCTAATGAGATCATAGTTGATTTTTGCTTGTTGCGATGATCGGAGATACGAAGCGATCAAAGACAATAAATAGTCTCCGAAAATAGCCCAGTTTACAAAACCACCTGACTAAAAGTCTAGACCCATCTATCCAGGGAATAGCCAAAGGCCCTATGTGCCTTTTGTACTCTGGCATTGCGCAAACAACTGGATAACATACGTGCTGATCCTAGGACTGCCCCGGCCAATGACGCCCCCGCAATCCAAGCTGACTGCAGCATCAGGCCATGTGCATCCAGTGGTTATTTAGGGCGGCTATCTCCTGACAGCTCTCTTTGCTTTTATTGCTCGCACAGAACGGCTGTAGCGGCTGTGTACAAAGGCCTCTCTTATCACCGCCGGCTCGGTGGCTACTCGGTGTGTGATTGTGGCGGAAGATGGGCTCGGATCGCTGTCTTTGATTGCTTATTTTTTTTTTGTTGAGGTGGAGGGTTTCACCGTCATGTAGCCTAGGCCATCAGGAGTCGAATCCCTGATTGATAAGGAAGCCTATTCTTTACCGATGTCACTGTGGCTTCTTTGACGGCACGCCACGCGACGGCTTTATGCTCGATTGATCTGTTTGATTCTTCGTACTGGCATTCTGTAACTGCTGATTGTGGCCGCTGGTCGGGTATTGACTTCAAAGCTTTGGAGTCCTTTTTTTGATGGTTCGTTTGCTCTATGCACCTGATCACCTGTCAGTATGTTAGGCTCTAGTACTCCGTATGGAGCCTCCTACAATCAGGCTAATTCACCCGGGTTTGTCACCTGCTTCCCCGTCAGCCTTGGCTGCTGCTGGTCGCATAATATTTAGATGTCAACTGAAAACAAAGCCCGTTACGTACATCTAATCAAACATATTTTTTGGGGCTTGAAGATAGGTTGCGAGCTAAAGGGTCTAAATGTTGTGATATATATATTTGTGAGTACTGAGCATACATGTAGTTATCCATCCTACCATTTAGTTTTTTTCCAAAAGATATATATAACTTTACTAGAAGTAAACATGTACAATCTCAAAATACTGCAAACTCTCAAATGTCAAAAAAGAAAGCTCGCTTTGGCGGGGATCACAATCCGGGGAAGTTGATGAGACACCCCGGACCCTGAAAGGCCGCTTTCGGCCAGCGATGCAACTAAGAAACCATTTACTATTTTGGATCTGACGCAAATAGATTACAAAGAAGAACTTGAAACAGAATACGTTCTGAGAAGTGTATTGTAACTTCTGGAATAATACATGCCCTATACCGAATTTCCATACTTCAGTAGGCCGAAAACATCTATAGATCGGTAAGACCGATGCCCAAGGCAGTCGAGTTGTCATCAACATTAAATATGGCGATTAAATATGGCGATCACTGGGTGATGTGTCGATAGTTAACAGATGCTTCGTCGTGTGACGAGACGAAGGATTCCCCGAAAAAGTGGTAGAACAGCTTAATGATCATATCGAAAGAGATAGTTGTTCAGGGGCTGAGGAGATGCCTAATTTACATAAAACGACTGTCACGAGAGGATGAAAGAAGAAAGTTGAGATCGTAAGACTAGTCTACTACGAACGAAACGAAGCCACGTCAATCCACGACGTCCATGTGAACAACCTAAGTGATCCAGATTCTAGCACTGGTGGGCCTGATGCGACGGCAACTCATGGCCCGAGATTCCTTAGAGCCAGCAACTCCCATATTTATCGACATAGCAATTGTGGCTGGGCCATGATCCTTTCCGCATCTTGTTCAACATGGACCCGTGTCTGCCAGTACGTACCTGGTCATCTGAACTGCGGGAATAATATCTCCGCTGTTTTCTTCAAGCATAGCGCGGCTATGTCGACTACTGCCAAAAAAAAAAACAACACAAGACATTGCCTGTTCTCCTACTCCGTATAGGACTATGCAACGTAGCCCAGTCCTATTAAGAACGCAAGGCACAAAACATAGAGAAAACCCACGCCGACCATCAGCATACCCTTGATCTGGCCCTCTCCACCGACAACCTATTAAACAACGAAAAGTAAGAAGAAGAATATGGCCAGCACAACCAATCCAAACCAGCATGTCCCACGAATTTCAATCTCGCCCCGACCACGAAAATGGGCGCCAGATCGGGGCTTGCACTCGTACCTGTCAGCGGTGTGACACCACAGCGATGGGATTTGCATTCGGCCCGACGCGGAAGCTCGAACCAATCCATGTACACAAGTACCTACTCTGCCCAGGCAGACTACGTCGTGCCCGGCGTACCCATCTACGATTATGCTGGAGCTGACGTCCGTCTCCTGTGGTGGCGGCTGCCGCCCATTTTTCAATGTTCCAATAATGCCGCTTTGCAACGCGACCCGCTGCAGGTCATGGGGGACTTTAAATTGATCTGCCGCGGGATGCAATGCGTCTTGCTATCGTGTGTGCCATGTATAGGCATGCTCGATGCAGCTGGGGTATGAATATGTCCACATTATAAGGTCTTTATCCTGGCACGGCACTTATCAATGCCTCGTTTGCTTTGGAATTGTACTGCAGTGCATTATTTCGAGCTTAATGGGTTCCTGGCACAGCTGATGTTTCAAAATACGGATAGCTGTTGCCTTTGTTGTGTCTGGGTATACAGTTGGGCTCTGGCTAAGCGATCTTTCAATGACCTGTTGACTATTTTCTCGTATAGGTCGAAGTTACCTGCCATTTTGACTGCCCAACAATGCAAGCTCACACATACAAGTGGATATGTCGTCAACACTTCAGATCAAGGTACCTAGCTTCTAATGTCCTGACACATCCCCCCAATATCAACAGCTTACATGTGAAAAGAAGGTGAGAAAATAGAATCAGTCTAGGCCTATCTCGCCCTCAGCCGAGCTGTAGTGAACAGCAAAATTCTCAATTTTGTGGTCCACGAGTCGCGGGGAACTGGGGTCATACTTCCATGCCTTGTGAAACTCTGGAATCAACGCCTGAATCCCTGCAAGCTGAAAGCTCTATCATACCCGTTCAAGAAGGGGACGGGGAAAAGAAAACAAGGCTGTATTTCTTTCTACACACTGGAAGGGCTTGAAAACAATGACGCCTTTTCTGTGATGGGCAAATATTTGTCAAGCTATGAATACATAACCCACCGAGACTGAGACCTACTACGCGGCCTTCGCCGTGAAATTCCGATTCGGGCGTCCCGGCGAAGAAAGGTCTGGGAATTGTCCAAGCTATGATTATTATCGAGCTCATGTTCAATTCATAATTCCGCTCCGTCCCATAGGCTGACACTTTAGTGCTTGAGGTAGTTCCCCGGGGTCACTATACAGCAGAACGCAACACTTATAACAACGAGCTTGTTCTGACTTTGTATAACCTGTACTATAAAAAGTTGCTGCAGGCATCAATAGTGTAGATCACTACTCTCTCACGTTGATATCGGCATCTGCTCGTTGTACAGATTACCTCGTAGAGTGGGGGTTCTCTATATTACTCATGCACAGGCGATCTGATCTTCGCCCTGCAATGATTTCCCCCGGAAAGAAAGAAAACAAACCGGAGTTACAACCAGCACCCGAATTAATCCCGGGCAACGTCACTAGGGAGGATGAAAATACAGAATGACAAGAACCAGGGAGCCAACACATCCATTGTCCATTTGATAGAACTTCATGACCCAAACTCGCATGCAAGGCTTCAGGTGCTATGTAAGGAAGTATACATCGATTGCCTAATGCCAATTTCTAAACATCAGCAGCATTCCAATCTCGTATCCGGGTAACAAGGCAGTGTAGACACCCACGATGAGATAGGTCATCAGCCACCTAGTTCCGTTCATCCATTAGTTTATCAGACCTTATTAGCAAGAAAATATGACAGGAAAGCAGCCACCCCCACAGGCGGAAGGTAGACTCCGAAAAAGCAAATTTGTCAGTTGATGTTGCGGTGGGAGTGCGTTGTTGTTCCTCGGCATATCGGGTGACCCTCGTGAACACAGACAATCCCACACGATCCCGAATGGGAGCACGGATCTCCCACGAAAACGGATCTGTCTGCTGGTATGGAAATGCTGATTTGGCTGGCTTCGATTGTTTTTACCTGCCGTACTGGTATGTATTTCACACATGCTGTAGTTTCGACAAGGACTTCCGGTTGGTATCTTGTGGTTCCGAGGCAGAAATGTTGAGATCGAATCGGGAACTATGGGTGTTTGGGATGTATAGGTGAGACGAGCATATCGTGCTGATAGGGTTCTAGCTAGATACACATGTGTATGTGCATGGCGCTCATATGCTTGTTGGGAATCAGATGTAGTTCTGGGCTATCGCATTTCCATGTATCTACATCTATAAATGCTAGTAATAGACCAAAAACTCATATCAAGCGAGACCAGAAGCAGTGGCCAGATAGAAGCATTATCAATCCTTTCGTTTTTATTGAAACTAAAAGGGTTCTATGTAAGGGACCATGTTTTTACATAGCAAGCAAACCAGAATCATCAGTTTTTTTTCTTTAACCATCGTGGAACAGGACTAGAATCAAGTGATCTAGAACTCAGACTGATCATCACCGGAGATAATGACATTGTTGATCTGATTAAGGGTTAGCATCGAGCGTGACAAAAAGAGTGAATGGGAGCAGTACCTTAAGAACCATACGGCACAGCTGGGTAGCAAGCAGAAGTTGCTGGCGCTTGCCAATGAGGGGGTCAATAGCGAAGTGCTCACGCATATCTACAGAGCCCAAGTTAGCGGATGAACAAACAGGATTGAGTATGCGATGAATTTTGAGGGGCGTACCGTTGGTGCCAGTCATCATGCAGTCAACACCGAGGCGGGTGTTCTTCTCCTTGACCTGACGCGACTTGATAGAGGCAAGGGTCTCAATGGGACTTAAACCAGAGTTCTCGGAAAGGGCCAAGGGCACGGCATCCAGCGCATCAGCGAAGGCGCGCATGGCATATTGCTCAATGCCGGGGCTCTTGACAGCGGCGTCCTCGACGGCGATGGAACAAGCAATCTCAGCAGCACCGCCACCGTAGACGACACGGTTGTCGCGCACCAAATTGCGGACAACGCACAGAGCATCGTGTAGTGACCGCTTGGCCTCATCAATGATCTGTAGCTGAAGTTAGCTACTGGCACATCTCTCTACGTGCGCAGAGATTGACTCACCATCTTGTTACTTCCACGAACGAAAATTGTCACTGCCCGGGTGTTGGCACACTCCTCAATAACCAGCATCTTCTCTCTCGTGGTTCCGAAGCTCATCTCGCGGACAATACCAGCCTTGCCGAGCTTGTCAGAGGTCAGATCCTCGAAGCGGGGCACAATACGGCCGTTTGTGGCAATGGCGATCAACTCAATCTCAGGCCCACCAACCCACCGAACGGCAGGCAAGTTATTCTGGAGCAAAAGATGGTTGGCCTCATCATCGAAACCCCACTGGCAGATGACCAAGTTGGCACCCGAGTCCTTCAGCTGCTGGATCATCTCTGTGAACTTGTCCTTCTCGTAGTCCTGCAGCTTCTTGAATTCCTCAACCGATGTGATATCAAGCTTGTGCTTGGTCTTGGGCTTGGGGGGCTCAAATGGACAGGTCAAGATAGCCAATTTGGCATCCCGAACTTCGTCGGGCATCTGGGGGTGAGAGAAGTCCTTATCCACAATAACACCGCGGACAAGTAGGGAATCCTCGAGGGATCCACCAACCTTGCCGTCAACCTTGATCAACTCGAAGTCAACATCCTTGCGCTCAAAGTCGGCAACCGAGAGCACGGCATCAACAGCAATCTTAGCAAATTGGTCGTGGGACTTGGAAACACTATGAAAGTTGTCAGCATAAAACAGAACTAATATATAGCAAGTAATTCGTACATCTTGCTGCCCAGACTGGTCTTGGCCACTTTGAGGAGGTTGGTGGTATCATTCTTGTCGAACGTAATTTCGTCACTGATCCTGTCGAGTTCGGCAATGGCGATTTCACAGGCCTGATCGTATCCGTCAGCTATCCGGATGGGGTGGATGCCTTTGTCAATGAGGTCCGAGGCTTGTTCAAGCATAGCTGCTGCCAACACCACGACACCGGTTGTGCCATCACCGATCTCCTCGTCCTGAGACTGCGAAAGTTCAACCAGCAGCTTTGCGACGTTGTTTGTAATCTCCATCTAACCATAACCATCGTATCAGTCTCTCGAGCCAGAATTGGATCTCTCCGGGGTAAAAAGGACTTCGGGGTCGAACCTGTCCGAGAATAGTTGCGCCATCATTGGTGACGGTGATATCGCCGTCAGCGGAGATCAGAATCTTATCAAGACCACGGGGACCCTAAAACAGAGTCAGATATCTTCTCATTCAGTGCTTGCCGAGTGCCATACCAGAGAAGATTTGACAATGCTGGCCACCGTCTTGGCGGCAACAATGTGTGACTTAACGGCCTCAGTACCATGTTGTCTCTTCTTCTTTCCTTGACTGTATTATAAAAAAGCCCCGTCAGCTCCAGATCCCAACCCTCCAACTCTCAATGGTGTTTTGAAACGGAGGATAAGGTGTAGCGGTGAACGTACTCCCGAACGACAATAAACGGCCGTCCCTGCTCGTCCTTCAAGACCGTAGCTACCCCTTAACGTCAGCAACGGAATCCGAGTTGTATCAAGTTATTCGAGCAGTAATCACCATTAGACATATCAAGCTCTGTAAGATCAAAATCCACATAGTTAGCGACAGCACATTTCAAGAGTGAGGGGTACGGGGGTGCGGCGGCCTTACGCATTGCCATATTGACGGTGGGCTGCCACCTGGCAAACTATAAAGATTTTTTTAAAAGAGGGCACCGACAAGGAGACCAAAAGACAATCAGGAAATAATTGACAAGACAAAGCAGTGAACTTGCAAGTTGAGCCTTGAGGGGGAGCTTCCCGAAATGCACTTTTGACAAATGAAATTCTGACTGCTCAAAGCGGTATAGCGTATCTTGTCCGCCTTCAACGCGTTTCTGCTTCTTGACTGCTCCAATTGCTCTAGATGCGACAGTCTTTCGTCTGACCTTTATAAGTTCAATTGAGGGTCTAATCCTCTCGTCGCCAATCTGTTTTCTAAACTCTCCAGCTTCATCTCACCTTTCAAACGAAACATGCCTCGTGAGTGTTTTCCTGCTAATGTTGACTTGTCGCACGCGCAATGGCGAGCATCTCGGCTGACCCCATTAATTCCCTAGCCCCCGTTGAAGATATGTCCGACGAGGAATCCGGCGATATTCCTTTCAGAAATGCGTCAGAAACAAATGGCAAAGATGCCCAAGACTCCCCGGAAGACGAAGGAGACGAAGAGGATGAGGATGAGGTGGAAGATGGACTGTGAGTGTCGCATTTCCGACTGACGGATATATGTTTCTAACTGAATATAGCTACATCGTCGAGAAAATAATTCAACACTCTTGGCTTGATGATGTATGTTTTATAAAACTTAGCCTCGTTGGGCCACGAAGCTAATCAACTACAGGGAACCCTTAAGCTCTTCGTGAAATGGAAGGGCTATGACAAAATTGAAGACCATACATGGGAAGACGAGGAGGGCCTTATGTACGGCTATTCACTCTTGAGCTTCGAGATCTACTACGCGCATTTATTGACGAATACTACAGGGAGGGAGCCCGCGACATTGTCACAGAATACTACAAGAAGATCGGTGGTCGCCCGAAGAAGAGCGAAGAGAAGTCTACGGCAGCAAAGCCAGGTCGGAAGCGCAAATCCATGGGTGATTCCAAGATAGCTACGCCCTCACCGGCGCCTGCAGCGAGCGAAGCTAAGAGACAGCGCCGAAAGTCAGTGCCTAAGGAGATAAGCAAGGAGACAACCAAACAAGCTTCGTCCGCGTCCGAAGAGAATAATACTCAATGGCTTCCAAAGGGGAAGAACTGGGATAAGGATGTGAAATCGGTGGACACAATTGTCCGGGAAGGCAGCGCGGGTCTCATGGTCTGGCTCGAGTTCAATAATGGACACAAGGCGAAACTATCCCTTCATGCCTGCTATGAAAAGTGCCCTATGAAAGTATGTCTTCCACCGCTCCCCAAACAGCAATAAAGATACTAACCGCCAAACTAGATGCTTCAGTTTTACGAATCGCATCTGTAAGTCAAGCTGTCCCAGTGAAAGCTCGAAATGTGTTCCTAACATCTCTCATAGTGTCTTTAAGGACAATTAACTCTATCTCATTCACCAACAAGTCGATATACCACCAACACGAAAATGTTACACAGTTGTGATATTTCTAGGCCATTTCTTCAATCTCGGATGCACAATAGCGAGTGGCCATCGCTACAATGCTCCCTAACTACTGCCACCAACCTGTTTGAGTATGGCACTGCTGCCTGCCCTTGAATTGATTTCCACGAGTTCTGAGTTCCAATTTCCTCTTTGCGTTATGGGCAGGTCAATACCGGCGTCTTTCGGGTATCTCGTTTCTAGCTGCACGCTAATGTTCATTTACTTCACAATTACAAAGTGTCCATTGTAACTGTCCTGTGTGATTTCTCAAATTCCACATCCCATGAGTATCATTCAATGAGTCCTGTCTGCCGCGCCATGCTGAAATATTCCCATCTATCCTTGTACGCTTCTGCGCCGTGCTTTGTCAACGCTCGCTGCACACGCGAATATTCCGCCGCTTGTAAACAGCTATCGTCCTCAGCTGTCCAGACTCCGGGCATATCATCGGGAATACCTTTGCCTGCGGTGAGGTATTTGAGAACCTTATCTGCCATCTCTGGGACCATGCTTGTACACCGCAGAGCATCGAACACGTGGGATTCTTTGGCACCTAGAGCCAGACGTTGATCAATCCAAGTATCGACGCTGGGTGCATCTGAGGCGTCATCGTCAGCCACCTCGGATGCTGGGCTTGAGGGCAAGAATGGGAGTTCTAGGAAAATAGGATCCACCGGGTCTTCGAAGATATCGTTTACTGGTGGTCTGGGTTTCGGTACTTGTTTCTTGAATCTGCCAGACTGTGCGAATGCGTTGTCCCCCAGTGGTCGCGGTGGGGCTGGCTGCACTGGCGGCTCTGTTGCATTTGCTGATCGTTTTGAAGTCTCCTGAGTAAAGAGGCGAAAGGTTGGTGTGGAAGGGTTCGGGACTGGGAAGAGGCCTGGAATCCCAAGGCCTTGGAGCGGCCCTGTATCTGACGACAAGACGCCGGGAGAGTCTCTTCCTGGGCGTGCAGCAAAGGGTGGTGTGACTGCCACGTTTGATGACTCTGGTCGGGGTCCCCGACTATCGGGACGGGAACGGCGGGAGGAAGGACCCGCAGTTGGAGAAGCTCTGATTGCTCTTCTTTTCATAGGTGAAACGTCCCTCCGCCGTTGATTCAGCGGTTCAGGAACCGTATCTCGTTTTCGTTTGGGACTGTTGGCTGTATTTGCTTGGACTGGAGGCGGTGCCAGATGAGGGACCCTTGTGCTAGATTTTGCCGTAGATTCTTTTGGGGAAGTTCGGACTGGTAAGGTCTTTGGGCGTTCTCCTTGGGGTGGTGCAGACTGTACAAGCTCGGCGTATGATAATGGGGTGCCACCCCCCGGACGGCCCTTGCCCCGCAGGTGCTTCATGTATCTACTACGCCAGGACTGCCATGGGTGACCGGGAAACTGTGCTCTCCCAGTTAGTATCAGATTTATATGTGTGCGTCCTGTAGCGTTGACAGAAACATCATACCAGTTCACTTAAATCCTGGTAGATTCTATTGCCTTGGATAGGCGCCCCTGGCTCTTGTGAATAATGTTCGACCCAGTCAAACAATATTTGATCCTCTTTCAAAGTAAAGAACGATCTTGTGCTTTTCGTGGGAATATTGGATGCACCCATTGGACGAGGTGCAGATGGTCCAACCCGGTGGGCTTCTAGATCCTCAAGCTGTCCCTTGGTGATAGAACGCTCTACATATTGATAGGAGAAACTAATTTTAAATTAGTGCGCAGATTTTGAGCAAGTAGAGCGTTCCGTACGTGTCTTTGGGTAGGTCTTTCCTCGTGTGATCTACCAACTTGACATCAGCATCCTTTTCCATCAGCACAACGGTGCCACCATATTGCTAGATATTCGTTAATCTCTGCAATTTCCAAATAAGATAGAGAGTTCCCGAAATACCTTAATTAATTCTTTAAACCTCGGCCTTTGTGGAACAGTTAGAGATAGCCAGAACCGTGCGCCTTGAAACAGATTCATTGTCGAACCCTCAACTTGGGATGAGTTATTTGTTGAAGGCGCCATTTCAGCTCTTCAGCGACCAAGATTTGAGCCCTTTCTTCAAGCTTTCACACACAGTAAGGTAAGCCGGCTTTGTCTGCGACGCGGTGTCACGTGGTTCCGTGTCGCAAGGGGCTTTTCCCATTCAACGGCGGGATATGGCGCAAGATAAGCGTTATCTCACTCGACTGTCAGTTCTTGGGTTCGATCATATGAGATTACGGCAGTATCAATCGACAACGGTCATAGATGAAATCGTTGGTTCATGCCGAGACTGAAAACGCGGTCACGTGGCATAGACAAAACGGACGACTTGCGATGAGAACGCGTTGACCGATCACAAATCAAGGAAGGTAAGAAGCGTGAAGAATACCGCTGGAGGATGCAGAGTGAATAGTGTATCCTTTAAACTTCCCGAGAGAACTTGAGCTTCAGAATGGGGACCCTCAGAACCGTTGCTCTGGTGGTTCTGACGATCTCGGCTTTCACCTTTATCGCGTTATTTGGTAGGCTGCCAGCTTTCCGGTAAGGAATTTGCCAACTTAGAAACATTTGCCTAGGTGATGCTATGTGCTGACTTACCAAGGAAAACTCCGGTCGCCTGGCTCCATCGGGCGCTGTGGGTGTACTTTCCGAATGGACTTGCCGTTGTCGATAATTGCTTGTTCGGCGGGAAAGTAGTCCGATGCTGGAATCGATCTGGCAGCTATATATTAAAGGAGAACCACCCCCTTGTCCTGGTGAGTCTCGAAGAATTTACTATTGCCTATCCAGCCAGATATTGACCATGTATACTAGATCTTCTTTACCTCCTTGCTAGTCATTGGAGAAGGCATTTTTGTCCCGGCTGCGTGGCCTCGGCTTTCGAGCATTCATCGATTCTGGGTACCTGCAGCTATCACCTTGCCATATTTCCTGCTCTATAAATGTGTTGTGACCAAGTCATTTATCACAGCAGAGAACCATGAGGAAGAGATGAGACGCTATCCGTATGACCGCGTCCTCTTTCATCCAGGGCATCAATGTAGCACCTGCAAGTTCCTCAAGCCAGCGCGCAGCAAGCACTGCAGCTTCTGTCAAGCCTGTGTTTCTCGCCAGGACCACCACTGTGTATGGCTGATGAACTGCGTCGGAGCCAACAACTGCGTGTACTTCATCTCGCTCTTGGTCTCCCTTTCTGTCATGTTGATTTACGGCTCCTATCTTGGTCATTCTCTACTCTCTGAGATGTTGAAACGAATTGTTCCGCCGGAGATACAGGAGTCCATGCAAGGCTGGACAGCCTGGATCAACACATGGGGTGTTGTGGTCTCTGCTGATCCCAAGATTGGAGCAGTGTTTCTACTGATGCTCATGACTGCTCCGCTAGCAATATCTTTCCTAGCGTACCATACTTATCTCATCTGGGCTGGGATGACAACCAATGAGAGTGCCAAGTGGTCTGATTGGAAAGACGATGTGGAAGACGGCTTTGTATTCAAGACAAGACGAAGTCTCATCTTCAGCAGCCCCCTTGCTATGGATCCACATGATCAACTGTGGCCTGTGCATACTGATCAAATCCTTGTCACCGATGAAGATCCTCCAACCGAGGGATGTTTATTGGCCTCCAACTCAAATTGCATTGCTCGTCGCCCGGAATCGGACGTACCTCCCGACCCTCGATGGAAGAGACTCCACACTATGAGAGATGTTGACAACATCTACGATATGGGCTTTTGGTACAATCTTCGGGATGTGGTGGGACTGTCCGTCCGTCGAGCTAAGGATATATCTAGTATTTAATCTTTTTATATATGACATGGTGATGTTCAGTATGAAAGTTTGATTTGAAAAAAACATCCAAAGTATGTCCACGTGAAAGATGATAAATAAATACATAGAGAACCTCCAAGATCTACAATTTCGACAGTGAGGGATTAATATATGTGAGCTGGATCAGCTATTCATGAGGCACGCTATTGAACATTGAGGGTAGTAAGTAGAGCATAAATTTGGAAGAGTGTATAACTAGCAAGGGTATGTTGGAGGCGGAGAGCAAGTTGGCAGCGGAGAGCTCAGAATGGGCGAATGAGCGATAACGATAACGGGCGGAAAATTTGTCTCTCCACACCTCCGAATCTTTGATTCTCTCATCCCACTCTGATCTCCCCGCTCTATTTACCCTTTGAAGGAATAGGCGTGTTATCCAGGATTTTACTTGCAAGATGGCAGACCCAAAGCCATTATGCACGCCAGCAGAGCTTATGCTTAAGGTAATCCTTGCAGGGACCCTGAGCCACTACGAAGTCCGGGGCATGATCGATGACAAGCGCCTGGAGCACATGCTTGCCGCTGGAAAGCAGATCCTGTACAAGACTCACCAGGAGAGCGATGTTCGGTAAGATAATGCATAGAATTGACCATTTGCATGCTTTGTATACTAATCTGTGACGCGCTGCCAGTCACAATCTTGGCATGTCGCCGGATATTTGGCAAGGTCTAACGAATGTCCTCACTAAAGCGATTCCCGTCCTCGAGTCCCAATCTTTCGCGTGGAAAAGTCCCGCAGCAAGCTACGAACACTCTTCTGCCAATCTGATCGCATACAATTATTTCTCGCTGGTCAAAGACATTGAGCGCCTGAATGATTTGTGTACAATCGCTCGCAACCTTCTCGCCACAACCAAGAAGGCACAGAACCTTGCGGCAGAAACAGGATTTGATCAAAGAATTTTGGCTCTCATCGACACTTGTGTTCGGGTCACCGCTCGAGGCTTTGATGGCGAGCAGAATGCGCGGAACGAGGAGCGATGGCAGAAAGTCGTCAACCTGTACAAGCGCCTTCTGATTACGTGCCTCCAGTACCTTCATAACTTCATTATGCACAATGAGCATCGTAAGATGGTGCTCTGGTTGGATCTGTTTGGATATCATTCAACCGCTGATACGAACATTATAAAGCCCAAGGAGCCTTTGGATGATGCTAGCTCGCGGGAAGGAGTGGCACCCATTGTGCAAGTTGGAGAGCGCGTCATCAACCCGCCGATCCGTGCACTTTATGACCAAACTGCAGAAGATTTGCTATTGGAGACTATCGCCAAGTTCCCACGGGAGCCGGCAACTATCAAGGAAGAGGCCGCCATGCTGCTTCTGGCCAACATTAAGGATCACATGGAGAGGATTTTGGGGAGAGACCTCAGCGCTATTCAGGAAATGGGCAGAGACCCAGACCAGGTCAAGGATATCAGGGCTGCTTTGACTGCGATTCTTGGGGCCAAGGTTGACGGTTGGGCTGATCTCCAGGACCGGGCTCGTGAGCTCCCGGCTGCGCTTCCCGAAGAAGAGCATGAGGAACCTGAAGATCACGAAGACCAGGAGAATGACGATCACAAGGAACGCGACGAGGAAGAAGAGGAACACGAAGTCACTAAGAAGAAGACCATCCTGACTATTGATCGCAGTCTCACAGCCGGTTTCCCTCGTCTTTGCTGGGCCGATCTTCCAGAGATCAACGATTTTGGTGCTGTGGATGGACCTGTTACAGACGAAGACACCAGTATGCCCCGGTCAGCTCAATCTGCCGCCGAGACCCTCCAAGAGGCCAAGGACGAACTCATGGCTCGGCTCCAGGAGCCATCACATATCGATGGCGATGAAGAGCACGACTATGACCACGGCGATGCACACACGGTTGGAGATGATGATTCGCACAGCCTCGACCACATGGCTGATGGAAGCGTCGACGGAGATGGCGAGGATGATGTGGATGATGATGGCGTCGATGGAGAAGCCGATGACGAAGAAGAGGAAGACGATGAATATCGTGGCCGTCCTGGTGATCAACAGCGGGGTCTTCTGACAGATATCCCTCTAGTCCTTGGACCGACAGAAATCGAAGCTTTGCCCATGATTGTTCAGGCCGGCATTGTGGACAGCTTTGGCCTCAAGGGCGGCGAACGGAATGGATCCAGGAACATGCAAGCTCTCCGCTGTCACATCCTGCTCACACAAGAGACAGGACGTAACCTATTGCGCGAACTACTGATTTTCATTGCGGCATGGGATCTCCCTGATGATGAGCTATACTTCAAGATGATGGTTCAGATCATGGAGGCCGTGCTTAAGAACGGCCTTATGTCTCATGCCTACTCCGACTTTGGCCAACCCAAGGACATCATTTCTCCGGCACAGGCTGTTGTGATCAAGATACTCACCCACATCTTCCGAGCCAAGTACTCTCCTGCTTCGGTGACGGGCTCGGCTCAGCCAAACATCCCCCGCAACCCGAGCTCACTCAACCGAGTTGATATTCTCACTGTCCGATACATCTTCACCATCTTCCGTGGCAACATCATCCCCGAGACTTGTGCCCTGATCTACCTCCAAGGTCAGATCCGTGCCGAGCGAGCTCTTTCGGAGGATTTCCCGCTCAATCTATGGGACATGGAACGGGTTTACGAGGGTGTCTACCAGTTCTTGGAGTTCTTCGCCGTGCTGACCGAAAACAACGACTGGAAGAACCTGCTGGTTAAATGGGAGATTGTCTACGACTTGGTGACATTGATCAAGGAGTTGGAAGCAAGCATCCCCAAGGGCCAGCTAAGCCAGTTGTCCTTTGGCTCCGTGCCCCCTCCCCCTCCTCCCCGAAACGACACCGCAGATGCTTCCTCTAGCGCTAGTCCCCCGGCTCCCGTTGCTGTCGAACGCCCGTACGATCCCAGCGACCCAGACCCTGTTGACACCGGCGCCGGCAGCGTCGACTCTCGACCCGAGTCCCCTCCTATTACAGAGGATCCCTCCGAGTTTGAATGGCGAAACCTCAAAAAGCTGGTCGTGCTTGTGCTCTCCTCGCTTGTCTGGAAGTGTCCCGATGTTCAAGAGCAGATTCGTCGCTACGGCGGTGTCGAGGCGATTCTTTGCTGCACTGCTTTCGATGCCCACAACCCATACATCAAGGAGCATGCTGTGATGTGCCTCAAGTTCTTGCTGGAGGGTAACCGTGAGAACCAGCGCCTTGTTGAGGAACTCGAGGCTCGTGAGGTTGTCAGCAATGATGGTGGCGTTCTGGAGCGGAGTGGCTACGAAGCGATGATCAATCAGGCAGGCAAGTTAGCCATCCGGTCCAAGGCTCGGGCTGAGGAAATTTTATGAAGCATTGACCTGACGTGTGATGAATTCTCTACCGAATACTGTACATAGATAGAGTAGACGGAAAACTCTTTGAATGATACTTTGATTATAGTTCTTCCTGTGGGATGCATGACTTGCATAGACATGTATTTCTAAAAGAGGAAGGTGGGTCTACACGTGTTGATGCCTGAACATCTGAATTCCTGCCTACAGATCATCTCGCCATTGCTTGGCCAAGTCTACAAGGAATACTGTCTACAAGGTGGTTCAGAATTACTATATGGACTAGAGTGATATGAATTTCAAGCTTAGTAGATTAGTTTCTACCGACCAGTATGGTTGTTAATTATAATTAATGTTTAGTAGGTTATCTCGGCAGCTGTCTATATCCGACATTTTTACTAGGACTACAGATATTGAGTTGGCTACTGCTCGAAAATCGCCTACAATCCTTTTATCCACCGCCTTTGCAAGACATCTTAATAGACGCCTCCAAAACTAAGATAAATAATATCTAACAGCACCTATGGTAGATGTCGTGGTACATATCGGTTGACACAAACATATCTACTATAGACACATTTAAAAGTCATCGGCTTCACCAAAAGGTGATCAGCGGCCGGCAGTGCACCGAAGTACTAGCCAGGAACATAAAACACATACGTACCCTACCCACTCCAGTTCCATCAAGGTGAGCCGCCTCGAAAGACATGGGAGTATGGGGTAGAGAACTGGGGTGACTCACTCGGGCCGAAATCTCATGCGCTATCCCTACGCGTAGGAGGCATCCAGATATTCGGTCTTTGTGTCTTGCGTCTGTTATCGGAAGGTATTCCTGACATTATAAAGCGGCGTAAGCAGATGGAGGTTCATCATAGTAATCGTCAGATAGGTATCCAGCAAGCTGGATCCCACGATCGATGTTTTCCATCTGCTCAAGCCGCCATGTCAGTTCCTTTACGTCCTTTAGTAAATAAAGGCCCGACTCCAGATCGAGAGTGCGAGTGCTGCGCAGTTTCGGCCAAAACTGCAGAGCTTGATACTCGGTCCACTCCTTGACAAGAATCATGATCACCATGATAGTCAGTCCCAGTACGAGAAAAAAGAAAGCAATTGCGAAGGTCTCCATGGGAGGAGGCATTGTGAAAGAAGACATTGTGGGTGGTTGAATGGGGTTGAATGGGCTGGGATACTCACATGTAAGCAAGTATCGAGATTGCCAAAAGGTGGTTGGGGTATATCAACGTGGAGATACCTAGTAAGTTTGGAGTAAGCGAGTAGATAAAGTCGCCCAGGGATGAATAGGAGAAGGAAATGATACCCTGATAGTGTGCGATACTCCGGAGAAGTCACAGTCTGTGACTCGGTTCAAAGATAGAGAAAGATGGTATGAGTTGTAGAGAGGATGTCATGTGGAATGATAATTATATCGAAATGGGGACTTGGGGACTTGGTATTTATATGTGGGCAGCGGCAAGATCCTCGACGAGGATTGGGACCTAACAATGTAATTGTATGCCCTTTGTTTAGAAGGCGATCAAAGATATAGACAAAGGCATGAAAGAATTTGAGATCAAAGAAGGACAAAGGTCTTTGAAGCAAGTGAAATAATTAGACTATGAAAGACAACAAATAAACAAAGGACTCGTCGATATCATCGAAGTGTGCATCTCCGAAAAGGTTTCGAGATATTGACTACAGATGTAGGTGCCAATGCAGTCATGAATCCAAGACGCCTAGATCATATACCCAAAACAACAGTGACCTCCTTGACATCCTTCCCTGTATATTCTCACATTATTTATGTGCTTGATATATATGCAGCTTATGTCTTCTTGCTCGAGTTCCAGATATGGTGGCCGGTAGCTTTACTTACAATACTATTTGATTTGATTGGAATGTACATGATAGATGCAACAGTCATTCACTCATACTAACATAAGAAACACTGTCATGTAATCTCCACCACAACAGACAGCTTAAAATGCACGCATATGCACACACACTCTCTCGATGTCTTCAGCCATACATGCCATCCCATTCCTCTTCCTCATCTTCCTCAACAAGCTTCTTCTTCGCTTCCTCCTTATCTCTCAACTGCTTCGCAAAGTCCACACGGTCAAGCGGACACGTCCCGCGCAGCCGCAGCCAGGGCCGCACGCACTCCAAATCGAAGCGGTGTGTCGGGTGGCAGGGCAGCTGGACGACGAGCGGGTAGGGATCTTCTACGAAGGGGTTGTTGCAGATAGGACAGGTATCAGAGGGCTTGAGTGATGCTTTGGGGACGCGTTCGAGCACTAGAGATGTTCAGGTGTGGTTAGTTATGCCGAAGGAATACCCCGCCGATGCGGGGGGAAATTGGTGGACAGGGAAAGCTAGGGGAGTGGCTTCTTACTATCACAGAATTCCTCGTTAACACCCTCAACCTCCCGCGGTGGCGTATCTGCCTGCGCGAGTAGCGACTGGATCATCGTGGTCAACAGATCACGACCGGTATCTGAGTCGGCGTTGTCGGTGCCCTCCTGCGCGTCGGGACGCGGCGCTGAATCAGCCTCGCGGCGCATCATATCTAACGCCTCTGCGAGAGAGAAGAATGCTGCGCTGACATCTCCTGGGACGGGGACTGCATGGGGTCTGTGGTCGGGAGCTGGGGTGATCTGGGATAGGGTTGAGAAGAAGGTGGAGAGGTCGGGACGGCGACGGCGCGCGATTGGGGCCGTTGAGGGGTCGGTGGTATTATGTTCGACTGAAATGATATTAGCTTTGGGGATTCTGGGTTGATTGTGATTATGGGGATTCGTACTTTCGTAGGTCGACATGGTGGGGGATGGAGCACTCTCAAGCTTTCGGAGGAGCTGTTTTGTGAGGAATGTGGGCGGGGAGAGCCCGTGTATTTTGTGACACCTTTGATTGTTTGCTGTGACACAAGATTGAGTAAAAGGGAAATGCAGATTTGGGGATTGTGCTGGTTGTGCTGGTTGTTTTATAAAGAAGTTCCCCGAAGGCAGAGTCGATAACGCGGCGCGGCTGTTCTGATTGGCTGGTCACTATACAAGCTCTTGGCCTAAATTGGAATGACGCACTTTTCAATACGAAAATGATGGAATAGTTCGAATACTTTGAGAGACTTCAAATGCTAAAACAATGATAAATTCATGGACTACACTATTTAGAACATCCCATTGCTGTGCATTCGAAGGGCAATCTTATTATAAATGAACTTGATTCCTTTCCGTACTTAGTAGAAAAACACTCGAGGTTTCCACCAAATTCACATACAGACCTTGAATAGATCAGAGCTCAAGGTGCGTTGTATGCTTCGTAGGCTTTCTAACGGTGGGACCTCAATTTCGAGGACATAAGATCGAGTGTGATTGATTCTCTATCCTTTTCTTTCAGAGTACATTTTCTTCCTCCCATAACAAGTCACAAAACTCGAGGAAATGCTCAGCAGTTCCACTTGCTTTTACACAAGAAGCTGGAATGCGATCTAATACAAACCATTCATGTTTGTTCACATACACATCATCCTCGTGAAGCACCCCTTTTCTTAACAATTCCGCCGTAGAAGTCGAGAAGACTCGCTCTTTTTGCAGTTCTTCCAGTCCCTCGATGACTGAATGCACTCGGCCCCGTGATCTACCTTGGACGTCGGGATGGTTAAGCCGTCTTAGGCACTATTTCTGTGCCTGCTCGATGAAGGAATATATTGAGATGTATTGAGTCGGCTCCCTGTTCCATCAGTCCATATGCCTTTTAACGGATTCTCTGTTGAATCTAAGCTCAGGACGAATGAAGTGGGGATATTGGTCGGGGTGATCCCAATAGCGACTGGCATAACCACTAAGTAAATTATTTTGCATTGAGAATTGGCTTTCAGATAGCTCATCATAGACACGATAGAATTTTTCATCATGTCGAAGTGTGCGCGGAGAAGGTATGCATGTTCTACGACCACAGGAGCCAGATAGTGTGCAGATGGTACATCCATCGATTTGTACAGTGGTTGGAAGATCAGTTCGATACATCGCAACTATAAAAATACTCGTTGCTTTTTACCAGTAGAATAGTGAGGAGAGGCTTCTCAATTGACTTTAGAGACAAATAATATGTGGCAGCTTCGGTGAAATAGAAGGTGGGGGAAAGTGACCTGTTCTCAAACGGTATCACCGTGATAAAGACCTCTTTGGGGCAGGAAAAATGATTCTCAATCAGAAGTTGAGGAGGCGGGGGTTACTGGTGTATTAGCAAGCGCACGTGGGTCGACAGTCGTAGCGTGCTTTATGGGTTACTCATTTAAGTCTGATACGAACCAAATGTAGATGTGTCAACTCGCGATTGGGGATATGCGAGGCTCGGAATTTTGGCGACTCATCGGTGCAGATATTGATAGGTTGGCGTACAATGCCTATTCTCAGACATTCGGACTTGCCACGCTATGTCGTTATTGAGGGAACAATTGTCAAGAACGTTGAGAAAAGGTATTGTCCTGTCTATATGTAGTTATAGAGTCATATTATATAAATAAAATGTTGAAGCTTTTAAGTGTCGACAGTCCTATTATCTCCAAGGCTAGGCACCTGTGCAGCCCTGGAGGATGACCACGCTTACCAATCTGCAGGTACTTACTCATCTTCAGATACCTACTCAGTTACACTCTTGCTATCATCATTGGGAACTCCATAGCTTCTAAGTATATTCATTTACCATAATCGATGACCTCGCTCGTAACAAACACTGTTCCCTGGCACGAGGGCGAGGAGAGATTACACCACTGGCTTCGAGTCCCGCACGGCGACAACCCGGGTGTGCCGTACTTGAGCACTAGAGCTGCATTTCTTGTTCAACAATGCCCGCTGGTTGCCTTGGGTACATTAGATTCCCAAGGCCGGCCATGGTCAACAATATGGGGCGGCAAAGTGGGCTTTGCAAAGCCAGTTGCCGAATCCTTAATTGATCTTCGGACACAAGTGGACAGCAAATACGACCCCGTTGTACAGGCTTTGCTGACCGGCAATAAAACTGATGCATATACAGGAAAGATGGTCTCAGGGCTGGCAATAGACCTGGAGAACCGCCGGAGAGTGAAGCTGTATGGCAGGATGGTGGCAGGCTCGTTGTCTGACAGGGACGCTGGACAGGCACAGTTGGTTGTCCACATCGAAGAGAGCCTGGGGAACTGCCCAAAGTACATGAACAAGAAGCATATCGTACCAGCACAACCTGGTTCTAAGTTGATCTCCGACTCGCCACAATTGAATTCTACTGCAGTTGAGCTGCTCTCTCGTGCAGATACTATGTTTATATCCTCATCTCATGGCTCATCAACCATGGATACGAACACCCGCGGTGGTCCACCAGGATTTATGCGTGTTGAGTCCAACAATGCTAGCGGTGCTGTTGTTGTTTATCCCGAGTACTCGGGGAATAGACTCTATCAAACTCTGGGGAATCTACAAACGACCCCGCTGGCTGGTTTCGTCGTTCCCGATTTTGATAGCGGCAACGTCCTTTACTTCACCGGCTCGACCGAAATACTAGCCGGGAAAGAGGCAGATGCCATCCTCCCAAGATCGAATCTCGCCGTGCGAGTGACCATTGCTGCTGCAATATTTGTTGAAAATGGGTTGGGCTTTCGCGGTGAGGCCGGAGATCCTTCTCCATACAACCCCAGCGTGCGATACCTCGCCCATGAGAAACAAATCCCTGGTGCCAAAGAAGATAGTGGTTCAGATTCTATGGCAACATTAATAAAGAAAGAAGAAATCACACCATCTATCCAACGATATCGGTTTCGCATCTCCAGCCGCAAACCAATTTCATGGAGTGCGGGACAGTATGTTACACTGTCATTTGAAGATGAGCTGAATATGGGCTATAGCCACATGCGAGATGACGATCCAACCAGTCTCAATGATGACTATGTTCGAACTTTTACCGTGTCTTCGTACCCCGGTCGCAATATACCTGCTGATCAATTCGAGATCATGGTCCGACAACATGGTCCCGTCACTAGATATCTCTCCCGAGTAAATGAGCGAGCTGGCCTAGAAGTACCACTCAAGGGATTCGGGGGAAGCTTCCATGTGTCTGGAAAATCCATCGCCCCCTACGTGGCGGGCGGCATTGGCATCACGCCCCTTCTCGCACAGCTTCCAGAGTTGGATATCTCCCAGCTGCGATTATTCTGGTCAATTTCGATCAATGACTTAGGGCTGGTTCATGATGTTTTCCAGCGGTGGCCTCAGTTGCCCCTGTCAACGACTTTGTTTATCACCAATATGGAGCTCGATGGAGCCGATCGGCGGATGCGGGACATTCAGTCGTCCGGGGTGCGAATGATACGACGAAGAATGCAGGCCGAGGACCTAGACCTTGCTCTAGCAGATGTTTGGTATCTCTGTGCGGGTGTTGCTTTGAAGCGGATGGTTCTAAATTGGCTGGTAGGAAAAACAGTGGTTTATGAGGATTTCAACTATTGAGGAAATAAGGATATTGAACTTGATAATATTCTGACGTTCTCTTACGTTTGCAATATCCCCATAATTTAATATCCAACTCCCATATTTGAAACAATTTCGCGATGTATCCAAACTGCGCCCTACTGCGCCGATAAAAATAGCTCCATGACGCACGTCCTAACGTGTCAAGTGGAGTGCCGATCAAGATGGGCTGTAGGGGCTTCTCAGACTGATTTCTTTCTTCCATCTTCACATCTTCACATTTCGCCATGCGATCAGCCTCCGTTAAGCCCTCGGTATACCCGCCGCTGCCATTTCATCTCATCCGCTTCCTGATATTCCTCTCCTCAACCGTGGTAGGCGTGATCTTGGCGGTGTTTACCTACCACCTCCACGCCGATGGCTTCAAACTACCATATGCATTCATCGTGGTAAATAAACATAAAGACCCATCTTGTCTCTTACCAGAAAATACTAAGACAAACAACAGCTCTTCGTCTCAGCAGGCCTCTCCATCTTCAACATCCTCCTAACCTCAGTAATCCACTGCAGCTGCGGCCTATCAACAAAACTCTCCATATCCGTCAACATCCTCCTAACAATCCTCTGGGCCCTATCCCTAGGCCTCCTAACCTGGAGCCTAGCAAGCACAATAACAACATCCTGCATAGCAGACTACTGGGGCAACTCGACCGGCATCGCCGTGTGCAGAAGCTACAAAGCCCTCTTCACATTCAATATCACCGGCCTGGTCAGCTATATCGCCGCGGTCTGGTTAGACGTGGTCGTGCGCCGTCGCCAGACCCGTCTTGGCGTCTACGACCCCATGGGATCCCATCCAGGCCTCGATAACTCGGGCGCCTTCGATGTGAAGATGGATGACCGCCACAGCGAGTCCACACCCGCCTTGCACGATTATGATAACGTCCCCCCCGCGATGTCCGGTGCCTACCCCCAGGCACATGCGCAAGTGCCGCCCGTTTATGAGCGCAATTTGGAATATGCTCATGCGGGTGATGCGCAGAATTATTATGAAACTGCGCCTGGGATGAGTCACCGTAGTGCGCCCAGAGTGCGATTTAGTGCTTATGAGCAGGATGGTCATCAGAGGCCTGCGGAGCATACTGGGTATGACCCTGCTATGTATCGCTGAGTGGGCTTTCTGGTACTTTGGTTTTCGTTCTTGCTCTTTTTCTTTGCTTTGATCATAGCAAGCGAGATTTTGTGATATTAATCTGGAGGTGCATCCCAAGGTGTATATTCGGGTATTTTGGGTTGATAACACGGAATTTGCGTGATGGCGTTTCGAGGAACAATTACTGGGATATATGTTTATACATGTGAAATCAAACCTACGGGCATAGCAGAAAAGTAATGCGAGAAATCCAACGACTGTTTTATTTTGGGTTTGCTCCAGATAGATTAAAACAAAAAGATCCTTGGATCGGCTGCGCTCAAGAAGCAAATAACCATCCAACCATAAGATAAGATGAAATGAGACAAACCCGCCAATGAAGTCGTATCAACGAAAAGATCAGAGCAGTAAATTTCGACCAAAGATGACCAAAACTCAGTTTACATAATGACCTCGTTGCACACATCCTATAGAGAACGTTAGTCAATGGCATATAGAAAACGAATGGGAAATAAAACATACCCGCTTGAGCTCTTTGTAAGGCAAGCACACGCAGTTCTGCACACGGACCTCATCGCCAACAGCACATTCCTTGCCAAGAATGGTGATGCTCTGCACCTTGATACCTTGCTTGACAATGCTGGTAGAGTGGCTGGCCACGGGGATGGGTGTGCCCTCCACGCGAGCCCAGGCACCGACACGGCTGCTCCAGCCGATGATGGAGTGCATGACGCAGGCATCGTGACGAATCTCAGTGTCCTCAAGGACGATCGAGTCCTTGATACGGGCACCAGCACCTACGACAACACGCGGGCCGATCGAGACGTTAGGACCGAGCTTAGCGGTAGGGTCGATGGTGGCAGTGGGGTGGATGTAGACGGGAGGCACAATGGTGGCGGAGGGGGCAGTGAGTTCAGGAGACTCAGCCTGGAATGCCTTTTGGAGGTACAGGGCGTTAGCAGGCACGGCTGAGCCGGCGGACTTGATCTGGCGCCAGAAGTCCTTGGTTTCGTGGACGAAGAAGCGGTTGCTGTCAGCCAGATCGGAGAGGATGTCTTGCTCCAGACGGAGGACCTCGCTCTTCTCGGCATCTTCGTCGTCGCCGGCGGCAACGAAGGAGGACTCCAGGTTATCGGAGGAGGGGTACGAGAGGAAGCGGGCGCGGGTGGTGCGGCGCTTGATGGCGCTGCGGATGGCGGGGAAGATGCACTCGGTGGCGAAGAGGTAGACACCGCAGTTGATCAGGTTGGAGATGTGTGATTCGGGTTTCTCGACGTAGTGCAGCACACGCTTGGTGTGCGAGTCGGACACGATGCATCCGAAGTTCGAGGCGGATTCGTTTGACACCCGTGTACCCAGGATCACGGCCTCTGCGTCCTTCTCCTCGAATAGCCGCATCATCTCGCCCAGCGGGAATGAGCAGCAGACATCGGCGTTCAGCACGAGCAGACGCTCGGGCTTGCCCTTGAGGATCGCATCACGGAAATGGTACAGCCCACCAGCAGTGCCCAGCGCTGTGTACTCTCGTAGGTAGAGAATGCGGAACTGGGGGAATTCCTTCGAGGCATCCTTGATGAAATCACGGAACACGCTCTCGTCATAGTATCCGACCAACATTACTTCGCGGACATCGGGAACCTTGGCCACCGCCTTAAGGCAGTGGTGGATGATGGGGTGGCCGGCGACTTCGAATAGGGGCTATTGGAATTGTGGTGTCAATTTTTGTCCAGCGCAGATCCCCACGGATAATAAAATGAGATGCAGATGCATACCTTCGGCACATCGAGCGACAATGGGCGGAACCGAGTGCCTCTTGAGGGGCCTCCGACCTGTGAACAAGGTGTCAGTTATGGTTTATTGCGTTGAGTTTCGTCACTCACCAAGATTACGGCCTTGGTGGAAGCCTGAGTATTGTGGTTTTCACGCATTGGTATATGAAGCATAACGGTATGCAAGGAGATGTGAGGACTAGAATAGAATTATAGGAAAGGCCACAGAGACCCCCAGAGCTCCCAAAAACGCCAAGACGACGCTTTCGGTGGGGCACCTGACAACATTTTACTCCTTTTGGACTCACACATTTCAATGCTCTGTTGATTTATCTGATTTACATGTTATTTCTGAACAATTTTGTCATATATATACCTATAGATATATAGGTACCCCTTGCCAATGTCTATTTCTTGTAATCTCTGGTCATCTCGATAGTTATACTGGTCTGATAACCTTCCTCTCAATGACGTACCCGCCATGGGCAATGTGTCCTATCTGCAAGGGCTTTGGTCAAGAGTAAGAGTCAATAGCATTTAATCTTATAGAAAAAAATAAACCATTGACTGGAGCTTACATGTTGACCCCTCATTTGTATTTATGCATAGATGATAGACATTTTTTTAACTGCTCATCAAACTGCCGCTGAACACTCGAACTTTCAAAGGTTTTGCTTTTCCGCTTCTGAATTCTGTATTCATGAACTGACTAGTCAAGTTCCCTGTGCTTGTGACGCAGCCCGCTGTTGCTGCTGTTGCTGGCCGCCATCCCGCTCACGTCGCATGACCTCGGCGACCCACGCTTTAGCTGTCTTTTCTAGCCCAGGGCCATACTGCTGCGCAATATTAGGAGGGTACTGGTCTGGTGGGCCGTAATCGTCCATGTAACGTGCCGACATATCATGTCGCATGCGAAGTAGTCGTTGTTGGTAGAGCTGAGTGTATCTCTGTGCCTGGTTCATGGGCTGTCCGTTCCTCATTTGCTGCTTTGACTGGTCTGTGGGCAGCTGAACATTCTCGGGAGGAGAATGGCGGTTTACGCAATTGTGATTGCGAAACTTTCCTGGCTGCAAAAACTCTTGCTGACAAGCACTACATTGAAGAACTGGCCTTCCCCGTTTCAAAGGAAAACTGTGCTCGCCTCGAAGGGCTGTTTCATGTGTCTGTGCAACATGTTTCCGTAGCTCAGCCTTTGAAAGGAACCCAAGAGCCGTTCTTAAACATCCAGGATAGGAGCAGCAATACGGGCGAGTATGCTTTTGGATGTGTGCCTCTCTTTCCTTGGGAGACTGGAAGCCGCGGTGAAAATACTCACAGCTCATCCGAGGACACTTGTACACCTCATCTCCATAGAAGAATTTGAACATGTTCTGATCGTAATCATTCCATGAATCTAGCAAACTTGATGCAGCGTGTTCAAGAGTCCCTCGAACTCGTGTGACAATATCAGGAATATCGAGCGCGTCATTTAGGGCTGCATCTTCTCCGTAAGACTGGATTTGGTTTTGCGTAGATATAAAAGCCCGACATAATTTTTCAAAATATCCCCAAGATGTCCAAGTGTTGTTTCCCTGGAGCTGATCGAGCATTTGATTTGTGCGGGGTTGAGTTTCAATGGTTTCCTTAGGTTCCCGGTAGTGCGAATCCAAAAACCTTTCAAGGACACAAATTATAGCATGGACGGCTGCCCCATCGACACGGCCTGCTAGAGAAGCTTCAAGATGACCTGACCAATAACAAGCTGCATAGTCAAGGAAAGCATAATATCCAATTTTCAGCAGATCGTCCACCGAAGAGTCCGTGAGGAGCATGTCAAATCCAGGAAGAGCCAAATAACCTAAACAAAGAGATGCCATTTTCAGCTCTTCTTGCATGACGTTTACTACGCCATGATTAATTAAATAGCTATGGGATGGTCATTAGAATATACGATATCAAGGGGTTAGAGAGGATAACGGGAAACCTACAACTTGGCGGTCGTATGGACAAGCTCAAGGGAGCCATCGCTTCTTGCTTCAACAAGCGAACCACATAGATCCTTTGAGTTCAGTATCCACTGCCGGCCATGGAAATCTACAGTCTCATCTTCAAGATCGATTGAGACTGCAGCTTGGATTTCACGCCATTTTAACTGGCGCTTGGCACATACCAGCCATGCCAATAGCTGGATTGCTTCAGCTCGTGAAGTCTGATCTAGAGTAGTACTCAAGATGCGAGAATAACTGCGCAATAGGTCAAAATTTTGTTCTTCTAGCACATTATTGATCAACATCAATTTACTCACGCTTCTTCGAGGCCGTTGGGTATACCCTGTCGTTGATCATTTCAGATAATCTATCCCGTGAAATTTGAGAGAATAAGATTGGCATCACAAGCTTTGCAAACAGAAACATTCCTAGTACAAGCAGCCAGAGGTTACTATAAAGTGTTGTAGAAATTGTCCTTGTGAGGTTGAAACTTACCTTGTGCTTTCTCCACCACAAGATCGATCATGCTTCTCATGACTTCATCGGTGATATAGAACTTGTTCTGAATTTTCAAGGCCCACGAGGACACAAAAGCAACGATGTCAAGGCGGTTGTGGGATGAGGTTATGGCAATTGTGGGAAGATCACGCAAAAGCTTTGATGTGACCGCATCGCGTTGTGAAATCAAGACACATCGGGTGGGACATGCTCCATTGTGAGGTATCTCAATTAGAGAGCGTAAGAATAAAATAATTTTCTTCTCCTCTGTCTGGGAACATTCGTCAATACCGTCAATTATCATATAAAGTCCATGGCAGTTTTTGAGCAGTGTTTCTAGCAAGTCCTTTGCTAAGACTTCTGAGGAAAGAATCTGCTCGCCTCTGGAGCACATTTTCTCGTGTACGTAGGGCAACAGGTCCATATCGGTTTGTAGCAGCTGAGAGATTAGACTTCTTGCTAACGCAATGAACGTGTTTCTTTCTTTATCGCCGTGTCTGCAATAAAACCAAACCGTAGTTTGAGAAGTCTCTTCTCGGCATTTCTCAATGATCAATGAGGCGAGTACAGATTTGCCTGCCCAGGTGTAGTTCAGACCTTAATTAGTAAGAGTACTATGGTTTCAGAAATTTTCATTAAAACTCATTCAGACTTACCAGCACCTGGAATACCATTTAGCCAAAGGAGCGGGGTCGAAGCATTCAAATCTTGCCAAATTTGAAACAGATCATGACAAAACAGCCAATTACCGGCTTCTTGGTTACTAGATCGAATGCGCGCAAGAGTTTCCTGGTCAGTTTCGATATCGGCACTTCCAAGCCAACATTGGACTGCCCGATGATTTATTATTTTTTCATGTTCTCTTTGCGTTTTGAACTCTTCTAATGTTTTGTTTCCAGTGGAAATTACGAGCTCCAGCTGCGAGAATGTCACCCGCCCTTCTAAAAGCTGTTTGTGTCGATTCAGATTGGCCACTATCGGTTCAAAGCGTGATTTGTAGGTTGGCCAAGTTGCCTGGAAGATCTGCCGCCACACTGGCAAGAAGAGTCAATATGAATTTCGAGTTCAAACAAAGATGCAGCAACTCACTCGGCTTTCTGAAATAGCGGAGTGCATTCTCGTGAAATTCAAGGATGTCGAAATAGAAGACTCCAATGCTTGATACACGTAAGGAGTGCTACCCAAAATACCCTCACACTTGTTGAGTAGTGGCAGGCTTTCTCCAATAAGCTCGTACGTCTCAATTAGTTTGTTGAATGCTTCCGTGAAGTTACTAGCAACCTAGTCGCATCTGTTAGATAGGACTTTCATTGCATAGCCCATTTGAGAAGTCGAGTGACTTTCTCACCTGTAAAAGAAACTTCATCGGCCCCTTGAGATAGTTAGTAATTGAAATAAGACACTAATCATTTGGGACGGAAGAGAAGTACGATACCCAAACAAATGCTAAAAGGTCTGCGATATTGAGGAACACCTCAACAACCTTTCCGTACTGTTCCATACCTTCAAGAAAGCGGCTTAGACGTCGCATATTCTGCATGCGCCTTTCCGATGCTTGTTTATTCTGAACGACAGATATTGCGTGCTTTAAGTCTTTTAGCCTTGTCATCTCAAACTCGGAAACCATATTTGGATCAAGTTTGCTTTTGAAAGAAGCCAACACATGCTGGAAAGAAGAAATGCCAGTTGCCGCCATCGATTTGTATATTCTACCTTGATCATTGACAGCATGTGAGTTTGAATAAAGGCGTCTGAGATATTCTTGAAGCCCACGTGATTAGTAGTCGGGCACTAATATGTGGCTGAGCAGGTGTCAAGTGGCGGTAATTGAAAATCTTGGGAAGATATGAACAGTTTTACTGGCAATGATCGCCAATCAGACCAGATTAGAAGTGATTGGCTTCCTTTCCCCGTAGAACTGATATCAATATTCTTTATAAGGATGAGGAATTCTTCTACTGGGGTCAGATTGTGTGGGGTAAGATATCATACAACATACCTATGTAGGTCTGTCTCGTTAGTTTTCTTTCTTTTTCTTTCCTCGTCCTAGCCAATACAACAAACATACTAGCTTAGTGCTCCGCATTGTTTCTCTTCGAACCCTTTAGGTTTAGGTCGAAGAGAAATATTTTGCGGTGCCTGCGCCTCAATCTCTGGGCACAGCACTAGCACAGCCTCTAACACTTGACTCAAGCATAATATGACCCCCCTGCCCAGGTGTCTGGCTTTAATGTATCTTCTGCTGGAATTTGATTCAATATTGCTGTAACGTGGATTTTGTTCCACATCAAACGCTAAATATGCCAAATCATCAAGCTTCCAAATCCAACAAAAGACAGATAGCCAGAAATGAGCAGCATGAAAGCGATAGATTTGAGCCTCGCTCCAAAAAGCCGCGCCCGAGCCGAGGCAGTGAACTCGAGTCCAAACTTCAGAACGAATCCACCTCCCCGGTAGAGCAACCTCTGGAAGATAGAAGCAAACTCAACCGCGAAGAGGTCTGCTACGGCTCAGTATGCTTCAGGTACCTTGCATCCTACAAATAACGGCTGACTCGGCATAGATTCGGAATATTGATGTCGAAATTTGGGGAGGACCCCCAGAGGAAATGATGTCCTCTTGCTCGGGACAAAACTACGGCCAATATTTCCATGTCATCGAAGTACTCCCGGGCTCTGAGTGTTTTGTGGCTTGCGTACCATCGACGGATGAAATAATCGGCTTCGTAAATCTGGAAGTTTCTCGCATTCTGAGAGATCTCCAGTGTATTGGCGAGATACGCTTTGAGATTGCCCTCACCAGCTTAGAGTGGAAGGCCCTGACAGAATCGGGCTACAAGAAGTCCTCGAGCAAGACAGTGGAAATCTCCATTTTCGGAAGTCTCACTCACTTTGACAGTGTGGGCGTATGCTTATCTACAGCGGGGCTGTTTCTTCAAAGCCCAATATTTGACAATGGCATTCCCCATCATAACCCACACATGATCTCTTTTTCAGATATCTCTGATGTGGAAATGGAAACCGAAGCTACTCATATGGAAAATACCACGCTGATCACATTTCGACAAAGGCGAATTTATCCGATAGCCATTCTCAAACAGAAGAGTTGTTGAACATCCTGGACAATCTTGCCGAACATGAGCACCTCCGTCCCGTTGAACCCGACAAGCGACTGAGTGTCTCACTTCTTCGGTGTGTAAATATTATCTTTGTAGAAAAACGCTACTAATCTTCCCAATCAGTCACCAAAGAGAAGGTGTAGATTTCATGGTCCGCCGAGAAACAGGTCAATCTATATGTTCAATGTCTCTCTGGAATCTCGAGATTGATGACCCTGCGGACCCTTGGTAGGTTAAACAAAGCTAAGATATTACGGAATTTCAACCCATATGATATGTATTGATCAAATCTTGTCCTAGTTATCGACATGCTATAACAGGATCAAAGATGTCAGAGCTACCAACTGGACCCTTTGGGGGTATCATTGCGGATGAAATGGGGTTGGGAAAGACATTGACAACGTTGGGGACAATTATTTCCACTCTCAGCCATGCTGAGGCTTCAATGGTGTCAAAGGAAGAGTTTCCCAAGTCGCCAGCAAAACAAAAGTCCATGGCAACATTGATTATAGTCCCTTCCGAAGGTGAAATCGCGAATAAACATACAAATCATCTAGTTTTATGCTGACTTTCAAAGCACTTATGAATCAATGGCTTAATGAGATCAAAGAGTGAGTTTCCTTCATCGTCTTTTCTATAGCCACTAACAACGAGATTGCCCTTACAGTCGAGTCGTACCGGGAACTCTGGTGGCTTGCAAATACCACGGCCAATCACGCGAATCGCAAAATCTAAGCTTTGAACACAAAGGCATAGTGCTGACAACTTACGGTACTGTGACTTCCGAGTTTCGCCTAAAAAGAGGTCTACTTCACAAAACCGACTTCTTCCGTGTTGTCCTAGATGAGGGTTTGTAGCTTCTGAACTCACTGCACTGAGGATTTTATGGGATTGATACAGCTAACAGTGATTTACAGCTCACCACATACGGTCAAGATCTGGAATTCAATACGCTGCAGTGTGTGGGATATCTGCAAATCGACGCTGGTGTCTGACGGGCACTCCAATACAAAACAAGCTAGAGGATCTGGGCGCCCTAGTATCTTTCCTTCAAGTTCCCTTACTCAGAGATAAGGAAATGTTTCGAGTACATATCGTCAACCAAGCCTATCGCAATAGCTCGACACGTTTTGATAATCTCCGTCTATTACTTGGATGTATCTGCCTTCGCAGGACTAAGAAGGTCGGCCACCTCACAGATCCGAAAGCCGAGATTCTTTACCTCAATCTCTCACCCACAGAGGCTCAAGGGTACAGAGATATCGTGGACCATCACAGAAAATCTCTGGATAAGGCTGTCAGCAGTGGCTCCTCTATAAACACCAACAATATTGTTTTCCAAGCACTAATGCAACTGAGGATCTACTGTAACAATGGAATATGTGCAAGCGAAGACTGCGAAATCCCGGGAAGTCAGGATCTTGACATGGACGAATACTTCCTTTTTCTCCGACGGAATAACGAAGCCCAGTGTGTCTCCTGCAATAAAGAAATTCAACTCCTCGGTGACATCAATGTCCCCACATCGGGAACTTTTGCACAATGCCGCCATTTGATTTGCAGTCCCTGTGTTATTATATCAAAGAGTGACCACCAGGAGATGAAATCGAGCATCATGATCTGTCCGGGATGCAAAGACGACACTTTGCTGTTCATGCCCTCCATCAATTCTTCACAACACGAAGACCGACCAACAGCTCTTGCCTCAGAGAGAATTCTAGATTCGATGAACGTCGCAGAACCATTATATTCTACCAAGCTTCATGCTCTGCTAAACAAAATTATGGAGCAACCTCCACAAGAAAAATGGTAATCTTAATATTGACCAACATGAAATCGGAATATAGTCTCACATCCTCCCTAGTATCGTGTTCTCGGCCTGGACAAAGAGCTTGGACCTTACCGCTACAATGTTACGAGATAATCAAATTGGCTATACCCGAGTTGATGGCTCAATTTCAAGCTCTGAGCGTCGAAGAGCTCTCGCTATGTTCAATACCGACTCTCAAGTGAACGTATTACTCATAACTGTCGGTACAGGAGCTGTTAGGTAAGTAGATTAAAATATAGTTGCTCAGTTGGAATTCATAGCTGTACCGAAGAGAATACTGACATGTACAGATTAAACCTCACGAGTGCAACCAGGGTACACATAATGGAGCCACAATGGAATCCTATGATTGAGCGGCAAGCAATCGGCGGAGTGGTTCGTCTTGGGCAGACCAAGGATTTGACTATAACTCGGTATATTATGAGGGGGACAGTTGAAGAGGTATGTCTTGACCCTGTGCCGGACACATGAAAGTATGGATAACTTACTCGATGAACGAAAGTATGTCGTTTCTAGTCAGAATAATAAGGTAAAGGTGGCTATGGAAGGCTTTGAGCAGATGAGCTGTGGTAATACAGCGAAGCAGAAATCAGGTTCTTGAGGTAGACCGACCCTCTGGGTTCACATTGAGGATCGCTGCCCGTAAAGCTATTTCACCCCATAAAGCGCTTGGTTATCGTACAAGAAGTTAGCAAACCTGTTATTTTTATTGACTAGACTGTGAGCTTTAGAAACAGATGCATATTTTTCTTCAACGATGTGATTCAAATGTCAATCAAAGTAGTGGGTATACTTCAGAGCTAACCTTGGAAGTAACAAAAACCACAAAGCGAGAGATTATAGAGAAACATAGGAGAATTTTAGAGGCATTACTTCATCGGGCATTTCGCAACTTAGACCTATGTCCACAGCCCTAGATCTAACTGAGCTCCATGCCCATTACCTAGTAGCTGCGACAGCTTAATAGCTCTAGTGGTTCAAAATACTCAGACTACGCTCTGTGTTGGATTGAGATCCTGTGAGCACAGCACAGTACCCCCATCACATCTATTTCCTAATATTGCACCCGTCATACAGTATGCTTGAGCCCATTCCCGTGGTCCATTGTGCTCTGGCGCGTTCGACTGAGAAATTGGTCTTTGGTTTTGCCCTCTAACTTCAAAGACAAAGGACGATACAAGAAACAGACACGAAGAAGGTACCAAGAAGCGTCTCGGAAGGATTTGTATTAGAATCCCCAACCATGTGTACTACCCAGAGGCCACTAATAGGAGAATATACTCTAATCAATTTTAAACTTGCGGTTCTCATGACGAAGAATTACGCATCTGACAGAAACCTGTGATCTTTGTAGAATATACAACACTGACAGAGGTTACATGACTTCTGTTGATTGCTCCCAGCATCTGTAGTTGTCCACTGTAGATAGCTTCCTTTCTTTCTTCACGTATCTTACAGATTCTCCAGAGGACTCTTATAGTTAGACTGCGACATCGCCTATAGACGGGCTGGTGGTAGACTTCGGCACAACCCACTCCAACGCGAACGCAACCCAACCCAACCCAAAATGCTATAACCCAAAACCTATTGGGTAACTTATTGGGGCCCCAATATAGTGTAAACTAGATAAACAGACTCCTAGCATATAACTATGTAAATAATTAATATATTTTTGGCTTGTAATATTGAGTATTTTGCTTACAGCGCTCTTCTAGAATAAATTGAGAATAAATTGAATCAGGATATATTTCTCTAATATTGCTTGAAATCATTATCTGCTCGGCTCTTATGTTTCCTCCTTAAGGCCTATATCTGAGTAGTAGTCCCTAGTAACCGTAGCTCTGTTACCTCGATATGTATATCTATCAAAGAAGGAGATATCTGTCGCGGTCTATTCCAAGGTTATCTACTCTAGGCCTCTGCAAAGCCCACAAAGCCCAAAGCCCAGCCCAGCCTAGTCCACTAATGGGTTGGGCTTTGGGCCCATCCTTCGGGCCGATCGATGGGTTATGGGCTTATACCTTGAGCCCATAGGGCCCATTTAGGCCCACACTGGGCCCCCATTATTTATCAATCAATACAAACATGCCAATCTATTGCAACTGCATAATTGATACATTTTTTGCTGGTTTTTTTAGGTATTGAAATTACTATCTAGGCTGTATAGTATAAACATTTTGAAGCTATACGTTAATCATTATGTGTATTCTTCCTCTTCTTCACCTTCTTGTTCATTTACTCCCTTTACAAATTTACAAGTAAAGTTATAGAAAGAAATAGTTAATTCGAGTGATTTGATTTGATTAATAAGATACTAGAATTAGTGTTATATTTATAAGATTCCTACTTACCATAATAATTAAATGTTACTGAGTATACAGGTTGGAACATGCGTAAAATACAGTCATCAATCAGCTACTCTATGTATGCCAAGATGATATTTATGCAGCGAAATGGGCCGTGGGTTGGGCCCTCGAAGCCCGGCCCAACCCATTTATGGGCTTTGCAGGGGCCTAAGATTCTACTCCCTCCTCCTCTTTATTGTTACTAATTAGGTTAAGCTCGTATTATCTATATAATTATCGTTCTGCTCCTTTGCCGACTCGATCTCAGCTAATATAAATAACTGCTAGAGTTGCCTTGCCTTAGTATCCTTGACATTGAATCTTATTGTATATAGAAACAATTAGACTGCGACATCGCCCATGGACGGGCTGGTGGGCATTGCCTATAGGCCTTTTTAATAAGCAGAATTCTTTAACCTTGTGACTTATATTATTTGTGAGAATGATTCCGGGCTCATAACTGACGGAAAATATAGAGTAAAGCAAGGTATGGTAGGTAAATCAATGTGTAGAACTGTAATAAAACATAAAATCCGGTTTTTGAACAATTTGTGCGGAACTTGCTGACTAACTGTGAATTCAACTTTTGTATGGATGGATGGTCCACGGTTATGCCGGGTTATTGGTTGCCACATGATCTTCCCGGCTGTTTTCACCCAGTATTGCATGCAGTATTTCCGACACTTTTTCTTCAAGTAGTCTTGACACACTACAAAGTACTTTGTACAGACAATACATTGTGTTCCCTTCAGTTCTATACCATGCACCAATTGTATCTTACTTGGTTGACAGGCTTTGCACCTGAGACCAGTATACCTTCACAGTTTCTAATTCTTATACAATACCTACAGGTATATACAGACTTGTTTCTCAACCGAGCTGGCTGTGGTATTGACCGACGCACGGATAAGTGGGCCACACGGGCAAGGCTACGGGTAAGCTCCGGCCCACCATGCATGGCCTGGAGCTCCCCACCCAACGCGGGTGTTAATCTTTTCAAGGTACATAATTACAGGTAACTTTGGTCAGGAATACATGATTTTTCAGGAATAATTATTTCCATATGGACTGGTACTTGTCTCATTGGACTGTACTGTGAAACCGGATGATTGAAATGAGTATGAAAATCAGTTAAAAGTGTCTTCAAGGTTATAGTATATAGCTGTATTTTACGACATGATTCTTCTGGGCCAAGATCATAACACAAGGTACAGTGACTACGCATAAGTCTTCACACCCATGGCCCCACATAGAGTAGTTGCATAATATTCTGCCGGCATAATTATCCACCCAAGATTCACTAGGTAGCTATTACGGCCGCCTTGTTACGCCAAAATTTGCCTTACTAAATAGAAACTAACGTCAAAATTCTGGAGGCAATTTTTAACGGGTGCTTCAGATATATTGGGAGCCTTATGGCATAACTTCTATGAGCATTTGGTAGGCGGTAGCTGATGTTTGGGCGGTGTGATAGGTGGGTCTCTAAGGGGTGTTGACGCTTTTGCGTAGTGACTGTATCTCAATGGCTAGCCCTATATAGGGATGGTGGTAATATGTATCTCCACTCTCATTCTTGACATGATCAGCTCTGTTCTCCGCCTTTGTTCGTACCGCCCAGCCCCTCACACAAGTATCATTTGGTTAGCGCGCCGTCAATCACTATTCTTTGTCAACTTCATCTTTCGACACAATAATGCCTTCAAAGGACCCTAAGCAAACAAGACCCTCGCCGAACTCTGTGTCGAAGACTTTCAAGGGGCGGCTGCATAGCTGGCTTGGTCGCAAATGGAGTCTCAAGTCGGTGTTTACTGGCGTATTGGTACTCTCCACGTGTTTTTATCTGGCTAACCCCAGTATCGAGGCGATACTGGATAATTTTCGACCCATTCGCCAGGATAGCTATTGGAAGAATTATCGAGAGGAAGTCAAGGACGTGTTTGTTACAAGCTGGGATGCATACTCTCGACATGCCTGGGGTATGTCGAGACCCTTTGTCACGTCAAATCCACCACGAGTCAAAGTTGACATTTAAATCTAGGAAAGGATGTCTATCATCCCATTGCCAAAACTGGAGACCAAATGAGTCCTAAGGGGCTCGGATGGATCATCGTCGACAGTCTTGACACATTAATGATCATGAATCTAACTTCTCAGATCTCTGGTGCTCGAGACTGGGTCAATAGGGAATTGACCTACGACCAAGATCAAGATGTCAACACTTTTGAGACTACCATTCGCATGCTAGGCGGGCTTCTGTCGGCGCACTATCTGTCCAGTCAACTTCCTGATGTTGAATCTCGCCAGGACCACGTTTACCTCCAAAAAGCGGTTGACCTGGCAGACCGACTTCTCAGCGCTTATGAGTCTCCTTCCGGAATTCCCTATGCTAGTGTGAAACTAGCTACTCGAGAAGGCATTCCATCTCATGCAGATGGCGGTGCCTCGTCGACTGCCGAAGCTACGACCCTCCAACTGGAAATGAAGTACCTTGCTCATATCACAGGCAAAGAAGTCTACTGGCGCAAGGCCGAACATGTTATGAAGGTGATCGACGACCAATGCATGCCAGATGGTTTGTTACCTATCTTTGTGCATCCTGATACAGGAAATTTCCGCTACCAGGAGATCCGTCTTGGAAGCCGCGGCGACTCTTACTACGGTATTTTCCTTCATTCCCGCTATTAGGTGAAACTAAAAATCTAATAAATCACAGAGTACTTGGTCAAGCAATATCTGCAGACCTCTGGAGATGAGAAAATCTATAGCGAGATGTGGGAAGACGCTCTGGCAGGCATCCAAAAGCATCTTGTCACTACCACCAAAAACTCTAATCTCCAATTTATTGCGGAGCTTCCAAATGGCATCGGTGGGAAGCTGTCTCCAAAAATGGACCACCTCGTGTGTTTCTTACCAGGCTCAATTGCAATTGCCGCTACCGAAGGACGAACTGAGGCCGAAGCGCGCAAGCTGCCAACCTGGAGTGCTAAAAAAGAGGAGCAGATGAAGCTAGCAAGAGAGCTCATGAAAACCTGTTGGGCGATGTATGCAGTGACAGACACCGGGTTGTCGCCCGAAATTACCTGGCTTGAGGCTGACGACGCCGATCTCCGACCCAAGCCAGGGTCAAGACCTCAGAAGAAAAGCAAGGATGACGTAGATTCGTGGAAGAAGGATCTTATTATTAAGCCTCTCGATGCTCATAATCTGCAACGCCCGGAAACTGTTGAGAGTCTCTTTTTGATGTTCCGAGTCACAGAAGATCCCATTTACCGGGAATGGGGATGGAAGATTTTTAAATCTTTCAAGCAACACATGCTTATACCTGATGGCGAAGCGTATAGCTCCTTGAGTGATGTCACCAAGGTTCCTGCGCCCTATCGTGATAATATGGAAAGTTTTTGGCTGGTAAGATATTTAATCGTGTCTTCTGCTTCCACGACGACTGCTAATCCTCAAATATAGGCTGAAACCCTGAAGTATTTATACCTTCTTTTCTCACCGAGAGAGTATCTCCCACTCACTGATGTTGTCTTCAACACGGAGGCCCATGTTCTGCCTCGATTCAAGCTGTCCAAATTTCAAACCGGCTGGGAGCGAAAGAAATGTTGAAAAGGAAGCTCACAAGACCGCGGTTGCTCCCGCATACATATATTGCCATTTTTTTGTTGAGGGAGATAAAGTTTAGATTCAAGTTCCGAGTCAGAGGTATACTACACATAATAAGATACATATCCAGACAGCCTGAATCGGATGAATGGAGATTAGAAATTAGAATTAGAATCCCCTTGGATGGGAGCATACTTTGCATCCTCTACTGGGACTACTGCATATCGCGTCGATATTTGGTGAAACATTTCGAGAGCGGCGTCAATGTCGTTGTTAGAGGAACATAAGATGTGACAGTGCCACTATTCGTCTCCGCTGGGTAGAGTACTGCCGAGTCTGACATAGAAAACGCCACTGGAATGTGAAGGCTTGTTAAACCCCGCCGTTAATGCGAAGATACAGTCAGGGTTATCTCCGCAAGTGAGCTATGCAGAACTTCACGAGATCGAATTCGTGGGGTGAATCCTGGGCAGGATATGCAATAATTGAACAGTCAAGAATCAGAGGGGAGGTAAGCTAATACGACCCCTGGCCGCTATACACCTGCGTACTAATACTCAAGTGGCCATCGGTATTAACTGGGTCGGTCGGCCCAACCCCTGACGATCCACACCAATTTAGATCTGTTCACAGACAAAACTGAGCTAATGCACATGCCGTTCACCACTGCGGCATAACTGACGAGTCAACGAAGACTTTCCAGGAATCAGAACGGCCCCACCTGGCCTTGATAGACGGATTCGTAGACGAGCGCTAGTTGCTGTCTATGTATAGGCCCAAATCAAACCCGATAGATGCAGTAGATATGATAACATGATACAGAGGTGCATGAACCCCCCATAGATGCAGTAGATGTGATAACATGATCCGGAGGTACATACGGAGTATAGGGGGGGGCCAAAATATTTCGTCTGACCCACTTGCTTACAATCATTCTGCCGCCTTTTCTGCCGGTTTAAAACCTCGCGAATATAGTCCGTAATGAAACTTGTAAGAGTTGCAAGGGTGGCAAGGAAAGAAGGGTCAATGGCACGAAGGAGGCTTGATTTAGATTTGGCTACGAACAGTATCAAGACTGATTATTTGTCAGTATGTATCCATCCATGGATAGCCTCCATCTCTCACCTTGTAGCACCTTTTACATAGCACACATATCACATACGTTCACATGCTTCATATTCGCACTCCGTACACTGATTCTTGGAGGACTTCAAAGAATCAGAGGCGATTTGACCAAGGTCATTCGTCTTTAATTCACCTGACTATCTTATGTGCTTCGACCTCTTTGCAAAGAAGCAGGGATACAAAGGAGAATACCCCGCTTCTTTGATAATACTTCCCTCTTTGGATACTGACCAGGTGCTTTTGCGTGATACATACCCTAGTCCTTGGATATCAATCCGGCACTAAGCCTTCTTTTAAAGATCCCCGGTACAGAAACGGCGTCTCTGGAACAACTAGGTAATCCTCAAGTATTCACTCACAATCGCACCGTTGCTGTGCTAAGTCTTACACATGCTCGGATCATATTAGTAACCTCTAAGGATGTGCTAGTTAGTACGCTAAGTAGGTCAGTTTGAAGAGCTCCTCTACTTGTAGGATGTTTGTCATAAGAGATGAAACTGAATGAAGAATAACCCGAAAGGTATCCCATGGTAACTTAGATTGGTTGATCGCGAAGAACTAAGTATATAGACTTCGGCAGAACCCATTTTGGGTTGGGCTTGGGTTAGAGTGGGTTGTGCCGAAGTCTACCTAGGGGCTGTGGGCGTTATAGACGGGCACTCGAAAATCCAAATAGCCTATCGCCCACCGTGGACGGGCGATTTCGCAGTCTAGCTGTTATATAGGGTCTGGAACTAGATTTGCTAGATGGGGTGATAGAGGTCACTTGACTTCTATTGATTGCTCCCAGTATACTCCGTATTTAGCTGTCCACTGTAGATAGCTTTCTTTCTTTCTTCACGCATCTTAGAGATTTTCCAGAGTACTCTATTCTCTATAGTAGATCTCTAGACTATCTGTCCTTAAACACACTACCGGCAATGTATATCAAAAGGCTACTGTATGATAGTCTACCCAGGAACCGAGCCTACCTACTAACGCAACCACGTAGGGAGTACAGCTGGCTGTCCCCCTACGTCGAGCACTACCGATGGCGTAAATTTTAATCTCGGGAATTATCTCTGGTGGTGCAATTTGATCTGCGCAATCCTCGTGTTATAACAGTGGGCAAGCCAATGGACGTGATATAAACAGGGATCCGGCTCATTACACACAGCCTCAGAAGTATCATGTTAAGTTGACTCTCTATCGGTTTCGGTGCTTATCATTGTCCAACCTTTGCCTTTGAGATGCGAGCTCCCCCGATTGTTAGGGCTCATATCTGTCATCGCATAGTTTCCATTACTATGACGAGGCGCATTACCGGCCGTGATCGTGACCTTGTTATCTCCATGGATCAACCCTGCCTCACCAGCGTCAACCTGTGAAAGAGCTCCAGTTCCAGACTGCGTCAGATTTGATTTTGAGAGCGAGCGAGCGGTGGAGACCAAGCCCTTGGTGAAAAATTTGATAATGGGGGCGAGAGTGGGTAGACATGCGGAAATGACGCCTGCAGCGCTCTCAACGACACACCAGGTTTGCGCGTCGGCGATGCTCCAGGGTACATCTGTGATATCGAAGATAAAGATGAGACTGAAGCGATAGATACTCGCAAACACAACACTATCAAATCTCGTTAGCACACACCCAGATATCCAGTTTCCTATCAAATTTTGCTAGGGAACTTTGCGAGGACACATGGTACATACAAACTTCCCGTCAAAAACACGCATATAATTGATATGCGCTGCCACAGACTTGCCTGCAACCCCCAAATGAGTTTTGTGGGCAGAGCCAAAATACATATGTCCAGAACAAAGTTTGGTACTCCGTTCCCGATCAGTGCGTCCTTAAGAACGATGCAGTGGCCAGGAAGCATGGGATTATAGGCCTTGGCAATTGGCCAGCACTGAAACAAGGCTAGGAAAACCATGCCTATCATCCAAGCAAGAGTAGTTCCACCAAGGATTAAACCACCGATTTTGATGAAGCGGACAGGGAAGATGCGATAGTACATGAGCAGCACAGCGAGTTTTACGATGCTGGCCGTTACAATGTAGAGCGGCTCAAAAGCGTAGATCAACTGTTGAGAAGTGTGTATTTAGCTAATGCCATTGATTGCGCTCTGAAGTTTACCAGGCGTGGGTCTATCTGTTCTTTACCTTGAAAATCATAGATTGATCATTAAGAGGGATGGTACCGGTGTGGGTGCCCATACCATAATGGATACCTTTCAATATAGTTAGCTTATATTACCATTGTAGCATGCTGGTAGATGTTTGATGGGAACTTACAAGCGAGGTTGAGTCCTGCAATAATGAACACAAAGAACTAGTATGATGTTAGATCTGATTACCACAAGTGCTGGATGCGAAGAGATCAAGGGCTACACACCAATCCCACAACCAGGGTCCAGTCATCAGCACCTAGGTCAACACGCTTCATGCGCCGAGCGACTAGTCTCAGCGCCAAAAAGACCAGAGCCAACACGGCCAGAGCAATCGTAGTGATGCTCTGCCTGGGCTGAGTACTCTCCTGCGCATTGCTGGAATCCATTATTATCGCATGGCCCGCTTGCGAAAAATAGCTGGCAATCAAGCAATAACCGTTAAAAAAGCAGGGGTAGTAGAACTAAAATAAGAAAAATTATGGTTTCTCTACTACGCCAGCAAATCGTTTAGCCCTACCTTGCCAAGGTGGGACTCGCGATCATGCAAGTATAGTGCCAAGAACTTTTTCATTGCCAATTCCCTGAATGGGTCTAGTATAGCACTATAGATGTCGATTCATGAAAATTTCCATGGAGCAGGAGGAAAAAATCGGCTAGTTCCATGGGAAATATCGATGCTTAATTCTCATTGATCGATTTGCGCCATCTCGACAACGCTACTGCGAACCGAGGACTGACACCCAGCCCACTTAATCCACGCCAAAAGAGTAGTTGATATGAATTATTCCCAAAGAAGAATAGTTTTTATCTTTATGTTCCAGGAGACAATGGAGAATTCAACGAGGAAGGCGCTAATACCCCGACCATCCCGCCCTTGAGTTTTAGTAAATTATCTTCATTCCTGAAGTCTTTGAAGTTCATAATAATATCTATCTCATAATCTGAGTTTGTTTCAATGTCGAACCCAACATTTGTTTTTTCCCTGGGTGCCTGGGTTGTCCCAGCTGTCTTCGATGCTACCCGCTCCCGCCTAGAAGCCCTCGGATTCCCCTCCGAGTGCCCCGCGCATCCTTCAATTGGCGCTGAGCCGCCCTCTAAGACTCTAGCCGATGATACTGCCTCCCTGCGTGGTGTGTTGACGAAGCTTGCAGATGAGGGGCGCGACTTGATTGTTGTTGGACACTCCTATGGAGGTGTGGTAGCTTCCTCTTCTGTCGAAGGACTGAATAAAGCTGCTCGTGCCGCCGAGGGCAAGACTGGCGGTGTTGTGAAGGTTGCATACCTGGCTGCATTTGCCCTGGACAAGGGCCAAAGCTTGTTGGGTATGCTGGGCGGAAACTATCTCCCCTGGATGAAAGTTGAGGTAAGCCTATTCTGAAAGATGATACATAATTGAAACACACAATATGCGCCACAAACGGACAAAGCTGACCGGCAAATAGGGTGATTACGTTCTGGCAGATGGTGCCGGTGAGATTGGCTGGCAGGATATTTCCCTCGAGGAGCAGGAGAAGTGGAACGCTTTAGCACTACACACTTCGCGTGCTGTATTCTCTGGCGAGTCTACTTATGAGCCCTGGACTGAGATCCCCTGCGCCTATATTGTGTGTGAGCAGGATCGGGCTCTCCCACCCCCGTTCCAGGAACTATTTGCCTCTAAAATGGGTGGGCCGGAAAACACTTATAGACTGCCCAGTTCGCACTCGCCATTCTTGAGTATGCCGGATCGTCTGGCGGAGGTTTTGCAGCAGATCGCTAAGGCATGAGCGATTTTTAGATTAATCACCTCCCAAATTACCGTATTATTTAATAATATACGGAGTACCTGGTACGGAATAGATTGAGTGCAAAGTTATTTTAATTGTTTGAAGCCCCCCACATTGATGTGAGACAATCGCCCGCAAATCGCCCCCAAATCTACTACATACAACATTGCGAGATTCCGATTTTGTATAGCCCCTGAAAACAATAGAATTATTAGATTCCCTCAAGTGGCACTCGGTATACATACTGCATATGGCTTCCTTGATTTTGCGAGACGAAAATACGAATCTGTCATTTCTACTCCAAGGTGGAGAAAATAGTGACAGCGAGCCAATTATATCACTTTACAGGCAGTTTAGTGTCTCGGTAGTCTTTCTGGTCCCGGTGCTCTGGCTCGGCAGGTTTCCGAATGTGCCCTACTTTGCAGGGGTTTTCAGCAGAAGAACAGGGATGATTCTGAAGAGCACATCTTTCATATCCCATAGATAATTCGCCATAAGAATGAAACCAGGAAGAAAGAAAACTTAGGTCAACCCCACTAACCTTATTCATGCTAGTACTATACCTAAATATAATGGGCGAAGAAGATTTTTATTTTATATCGACGATATCTACTCCGTAGAAATCGAGCCGTCTAGGTACCTATTTGCGAGTATATCTAGATCACTATCAACGATGTTAATGTATGTAGTTTCCAACTTCTTTTTAATTTAATAACGGACTGTCTGCAGATTAATGTACTCTCACTTTGCCCTCGTCTCAGTCTCACCTTTACTTTACTTCGACCCTACCTGTGATTGCCTTAATCTTTCTCTATTTTTTATCTAATCCTCTTCTTTTGTTATAAGTCATGTGACCTATCTCGTTTGCTCCCAGTTATTTCTATTTATAGTCAACTTCCTCCCAGACAATTGCATCACTCTTCCACAATGATATACATATCTCGATACTACTTAGTGGTTCTAGATCTATCCCCTCTCAGATTGAGGACCTTGCTCGGTCAAAGCTTTTCGTTAATCAACACCTCGAGTCCACCAGTGTCTACCATTCTCGCACAGCTGAGATATCTGCACCAATCAGATATTATCACCCGCACAGTCGAAATTCCGTCTCGAGAGCTTATTCGTCAGCCAAGGCCATAAGTGGATACCTGTCATCTTCAAACGATCGCTCATCATGCGATGATGGAGAATCATTATCACTTTTGACCAATCAACAGTTGAACCTTCATCAATATTCCCATACGGTCTACTATACGAGTAGTAGACCACTTCATTGATGTCTTAATTGTTGACCGGTCGAATACTGAGGAGATCGGCACCATACCCACTAGTGAACCTGTCTACTATTTCCAAAGAGTCGCCACTAATACCTCCTCCTTGACTTCCGGACACCACGCATACATTTACCAACGCTTTCGATGAGTGACGTTAAAGAGGTGGATTAAGAACACCATCTTCAGTCTGACCACCTGTTACCTCCATGGGCTTTGCGTGGGGTCGAGCATAAAAAGTGTTTTTGGGGTATTCTATTCAAGCGAATTAGCACCAAGGAATTAACCGATGGGCGATATTAAATTCACGGTACGAAAGCGATGTACGTCTACGGCTTTGCGAGGGTATATAGGCTCGTGCCATCGTACCGGCAGATTGCGACATCTCCAGAGCAGTGAGTGCCGGTTGGTCTTCCACATGTCAACTCCCCTGCCCAGAAGACAGATACAATATGCTTGCCGTGTTGGGAAGAGCGCAATCCGGACATATTTTGGAGAATGAATAGGGACGGACAGATGTGATTGCTGGCACTGTGGCTATCCCTTCTAGAAGCTCAAGTCCAGTATATCTTGCAACAAACGACGGGAAAGTGTACGATACTAGCATCGTGCTAAAGGAATGACATGCAGTGAATGGCGAAGATCATCAGTGGTGGATTATTCCCAGCAAGGAATCGCTTGGCCATATCTAGGACAGCAGCATTACGTGGGATTGGATCTTCTGTGGCAATTGTTACCACAAGCGAAACATGAGCTTGGCTAGGAAAGCTGAGGGGAGGCTGAGACCGGTGCACCCACGAACACAGCCGAAAGACAAGTGCAGCAACACCTACCTAAAGAGTTCACCCGGCAAGAGTACGAAAGTGGAGACTTGGGAAATGAGCTATTCTCCCAAAATCGAATTCTTGGTGCCTACTTTCTGCGAATCCCTAAGAGTGACTTCCGTAGCAAAATATTATTGACAAGAAGATATTGGAGGATGAGTTATGGGCAGATGACCATTAAATAAACAAACTTAACCAATAATTAAAGGCTTGGCTCGGCTCGCTTTGTTCTTCTCGTAGGTGCCAGTAATATACTGTAAGGTAGGTTAAAGTTGTACATCGCAAACAACTGCCTTGTAGCCTAGATATGTCCTGAATTTCTCTTCCAATCTCGATTTATGTATAGATCGCTGCAAATTGATGCTAATCTGTACAATTTTGTTTTTGGATTTTCTGCGCTATTCAATTGTTTTTTACATTTTCTCACTTCATCCATATCTCCGTGACTCCATCAAATTCGATTCATCATTGAAATTCACACACACCTCCCCAGAACAACCATTTCAAGCCTAAATTTGGCTCAATAAAACGAGTTTAAGCACTACAGGACTCGAAAGCTTTGGAAATTACCAATCCTCCTTGATGTCTGCAAAGCCAGTTTGGTCACTGTCCTCCATTTCGATGTCCTCATCTCGGACAGAGTCCAGCCATTCTTGCGCTTTCGAAAACTTTTCTCGCTCTTTCAGTAACTGCGCACGGCGATGCTGGCGCTCAGGGTCCTCCGTCATGAGGTCAAGACAGCGGGCACGACCTGAATCACCTATTAGTAACATTCTCCGACTTCATGCTCAACACATATAATGTGTATGCTCACCGTTATCGCCGAAGATTTCCAGATCATCGCGAAGAGTATTGACGAGGCTTGCACGACAAGCTCGGAATAACTTCATGTGAGTTGACTGGCATAAGACGTCCAGGAAACGAGAAGACGCAATATCGTAGTACGCCAGCGAGCTCTATGACTACAATTAGTAAACTTCAGATAATGTGCTCTAAAAGTCTTACAGCCACCATGTCAATTTCCTGAGAGTATCTATCAGGATCAAGTTGCTCTGGTTGAATCTTCTTGATCTTATCGGCAATCTTCTCTTCACTCATATCGTGTCCACGAATCTTCAGCCAACAAGCTGCACGAGCATTGTGTCGACGAGCTTTAAGTGAGACCGAAGCCTGTTGCATCAGGGTTTGATGCTGTACCTGGGCCATTGTGAACGGTATCTCAAGTTCTGACTTGCAATAGTCTTTGGCAAGCTGAAGATGAGCTTGGCGGAGCTTACTCATAAACTCCCTCAAGATTCTGCGTAGTTCCTGGTACAGTCCGGTTTGGTGATACTGGGCAAACTCTTCCTCGAGAGCTTCGAGCAGCATACCGTGCACGAGGCTATGGGTAGCTTTCAGAAAAATTTCCATCAGCTTTCCCCAATGCTCAACACTTCTTTTATTCAAGTTTTCGATCGCCCGTGGATCAAGCTGGTTTGGTACACCAACTGTGTTTGACCGAATCTTCAGTTCCGTGAGTTGTTGCAGCGATATTCTAGCAGGCTTCGATCCTTCGAAGTGGGAGGTGCTATACACAGTCCTTCTTGGGGTTGCTGGTTCCGATATCGAACTAGCGCTCGTAGGCGACTTTCTTTTCTTCGGGGTTGTTGCGATGATTCCCACAATCTTCATCTCACAGTCAGAGTCAACAGCTTCAGCGAGGTCCTCATTATCCTTCGGCGCAGCAACGTCCAAGATAGGGCGTGTCTTTGTAAGGGCGGTTTGCAGATCCATAACTATCTTGTTCCACTGTTCTTGCAGTGGCTTTCGCTGGGAAGAACCGTGCTCAATACTGGGAGTCCCATCGAACAGTTCATGAATCTTCCGTTCAAGATCCGATGTCTTACCCCATAGAATCCGCTGCACATCTTCAGTAGGAGGATTTGGCAGTGTTTGGAGCTCTTCATCAATCGCACTTGACTTTTCATCGATCTGAGCAATGATGGAGGGCAAAGATCCTAAGATCTGACGCATTAAAAGGTCAGACAGTGCCGTTTGAAGTTGTCTTGTACCGAAGCGATCTTCAAATGCGGCGAGATTCTTTGTCCACAGTGCAGAACTGAAGAACATTTCTTCCTCTTTCCTAGCTTGTGCATGGCTCACGAGCGGATCGGGATTGTTCCTAATGACATAATAACCGTGACCAAGCCTAAACTTGCTTCCGTCTAAAATTTCTTGCCATTGATCAAATGGCTCGTCAGAGGGCCGACGATCGGGTTTGGTCAACACTCCAAGCGTACGTTCTTTTGCACCCTTGATATCCCGGACGAGACGGGCAGCACTGGAATTGGTTGCATCGTCTGTCATGGGCAGTGTGAGGAGTACAATGCAATGCTCCTGAGAAACGTAATCTTTGACTAGGTTTTCGACGAGATTCACCAGATATTTCTCGTTATCGTGTTCTGTCTGGCTAATCACTCCAGGCAGATCGTAAAATGATAAATTCGGGAGGCCCGGGCCCGAGATATCCAAACGCACAGCGTTAGGAGAGAATTTGACCTGAGGGGTGTGTGACATGTCAGGCATACTTCCGGGCACAAAATCCTGTGAATCCGTGCTTGGATTCAGGATAGCCAGCTGGGCGCACCGGATAGCCTTTTTGACTTCCTTCTTGTTGTCCAAGGTAACAAAATGTTCATCATCTTGCCCACCAAGCGCGATCCATGGTCCCAGTGGCTCCGACTTCTTTGGCGCCTTCATGCGCTTGGAAGGATCAAAGATGTACCGGCGGGATAAATGGATCACGCATCTCCAGCTGTTATCGCTTTCTGCAAGATTTATTTCGAGGGGACATCGTGTACAGGTTCCTTCGGATCTAGGCACCTTGATCTCGGAGATGCCCTCGATGAGAGAGCTTTTCCCAGTGCTCTGGTCGCCGACGACACATATTTTTGGAAGCATGATTTTGCTATCCTCAATACCAAGGTGACTAAGATCTTGAATCTTTTTCACCAGGTTCTTCATGTCCCTAGTGAGACTATCAAGAGAAGAACTAGGAATTGGGTCGGCAGAAGTGGTGTCAGTTAGGCCATGAGACACCGGTATTGTAACAGCCAAGCTAGCTGCAGAGATGAAGATACTAGTTAAAAAGAGGATCTTTTTTTTCAAGAGAGACTGGACTCACAAATCGCTGGGCTAGGTTCCGACTTCGGAACTCGGTCACGCCAGCCTCCCATCGTGGCAGATCAGGTCTATATGAGTGATTGTCAGCCAAAAGAGCAAGAAGATGGGAGACAAAAAGTGGTGCCCAAGGTCACTCGTTGTAGACTTGGCAATGTGAGACATACTAGGAGACACAGAAAAGAAACAGAGCATACAAATGAGAGACAAGTGTGATGTTCAGGGATAAGTTGGGGGAGGGAGTGAAAGTCACCACAGGTGATGACGCGTAACAGATGGCGGAAAGATAGCTAAGAGGCGAAGGTTACAGATAGAAATAAAATAAGAGGAAAAAAAGGAAAGTCGAGGTCGAGGAGATGGATGAATGAAGCAAGGCGATGAAGAACAAAGATAGGCAGGAGGGGAAGAAATGCGGAGAAGGAAGGTACGTAGAGGAAAGGCAAACAGAATGAGCGGGATAGAGAATGATAGGTGAAACAGAATAGAAAGAACTCAAGAGGATCGCACCTTGAGGGTAAAAGAAGCGATGAAGACAGTCGACGCCACCTTGTGGCTAAAGATTGCTACTGATTGGAATAACCTTTCTTCCACAGAATATTATTCTTCCCAGACAGCTTCAAATATCTTCAAGTTGAAGTTGTACAGATTCGAGTGACCAAGATCTGATACGACGTGGTCCTTGCACCAGGTAAAGATTCTTGGAAGGCAGGTGATTAGAGCAGGAATCAGGACAAGAATAGACCAAACTCACACAAGGAAGTACAATCTCGACGCAATATCAAGTCATCGTCAAACGATATGTAATATAGCAACTTCAAATGCTACAAAGCTGAACTCAAGGATGATAGACATTGGCTTAAAACCTCTCTATTGCCACTAAACTTGATCCGCCCAGCATTGGCATGGAATTCATTGGTACTTTGTCACATTTTCTAGAAATTTTGCGCAGCGTCCACCATCAATGACAGTAGTAGAAAGGTTAGATTGCCTGGTTATTGGCCTAGCCCTTGCAGAAAGTCGTGATATCGTCACCAATATCTTCCATCAAAAGCTCAGTGTGCCACTGTGTCTTTGACATCTAACTGCGTTGGTAGTATAGAAATCGGTGCATTCCCTAGGTAGAAGTAACTACTAGCTCTGTAGAACCTTTTCTGTAGTAGCAATCTCAGTTCATCATTACCATGCATTTCATGTTTTCTCTTGTTTTTCGTGCTCGCTTTTAGGGGCAGTATGGATTCCGTCTTCCTAGATCTTGAGACATGGTCTAAAACTCAATATCAAAATAGCAGCAGTATCTTTCTTTCTTTCTCACTACCTCTTGATTGGGTTTTTCTGTCCCACGTATTTCGAACAAATAGCGAATCTTCTGGTGTCGCCCTTGGTAGTGCTAGGGAACTTGCCTAGTGATTGAGCGAGTCTGTTTTTACCAACTATGGCTGTCTACTGCCTGAATTGTGGCACTATACTCCATAGGGAAGTGTAGGTACGTCTGGACATTGAATAAGCCACCCTTAGCTCAAATCGCAGGTTTAATGCCTTAACAGCTTTTTAGCAGTGAATCATCTATCAACACTTTACCCAATTATATATAAACAGTCACTACAGGGACTGGAGCACCACCAAGTAAGCCTATGCTGCTGTAGTGAGTCGATAATGTACCAAGAAACAATGACTGTAGAGACTATTCAGTTATGACAAGGCTGTACTTATTTACTGTGCTGATATTGAAAAGTCAATACAAAATGGATGATGGGTATCGGGACTGGTTTCCAGCCTCGTATATGGAGGAAAATTGCGGTTCTTGGGGAAGCAGGTCGATATAGATATCTCCGTGCCCTAAACCCTACACCGCAGTCGAGTGTCCACGAACTGTGCTCGACAACGGAGGGCGGGAATTAGATTCTATCTAGTAGAATATAACATAATTTTTTAAATAATAGAGATCATATTTCTATAGTTATTTTAGTACCATATGAGTGAAATTAAGAATGAGTCATGAGGGTTGGATGAGGTCCCCGCGTGGATAGGGAGTTGTAGGCAATCGACCAATCACATGCTATGCCGGTTCCGCCCAAAAATTCAAGTCCCCCATCCCACCATCCCACTATCCCACATTTTGTCCTCTGTAACCACACAATATGGCGGATTCCAACCCTGTTCAAGAGGCTACTGCCTCCATTGCCAACCTTCTCCTCGACGATGTCACTGGTGAGAAAGTCTCCAAGACCGAATTGAAGAGACGCCAGAAGCAGCGCGAGAAGGACGCCAAGAAGAAGGAGAAGGAGGCCGCTGCTCCCCCCAAGCCCAAGGCTGAGAAGAAATCATCTGCCGAAGAGGACGAGGCCAACCTGACTCCTAACGTTAGTTCTCTTGCTCCTGTATCAATTCCCGGCTTCTGCGAAGCTAATTAATGTGTTTTTCCAGCAATACTTCGAGATTCGCAGCAAGAAAATCAACAAACTGCGCGAGACCAAGAACCCGGATCCATACCCGCACAAATTCCACGTTGATACTGAACTCTCCAAATTTGTTAAGGACTATGAGGGTCTCCAGAAGGGTGAACAGAAGCCCGATGTTACGGTTCGCGTTGCTGGCCGTATCTACACCAAGCGTACCTCCGGCAACAAGCTTAACTTCTACGACATCCGATCGGAGGGTGTCAAGGTGCAGGTAATGTGCCAAGCACAATTCTCGACTGGCAAGCCATTTGAAGAGCAGCACGAACTGCTTCGTCGAGGTGATATTGTCGGTATCGTGGGTTTCCCCGGCCGCACCAACCCTAAGAACCGTGACGATGGTGAACTTTCTATCTTCGCCACTGAGGTTATTCTCCTGGCCCCTTGCCTACACGCCATCCCTTCGGAGCACTACGGCTTCCAGGACAAAGAGCAGCGTTTCCGCCAGCGCTACCTCGATCTGATCATGAATGACCGATCACGTGATATCATCCGCACTCGTTCTAAGATTGTCTCCTACATTCGCAATTACTTTGAAAGCCGTGATTTCATTGAGGTTGAGACTCCTATGATGAACGCTATTGCCGGTGGTGCTACTGCCAAGCCCTTCGTGACTCACCACAATGACCTCGATATGAACCTCTTCATGCGTGTCGCCCCCGAGCTTTACCTTAAGATGTTGGTTGTCGGAGGACTGTCGAAGGTTTTCGAATGTGGTCGTCAGTTTAGGAATGAGGGAATTGATCTTACTCACAACCCTGAGTTCACTACCTGTGAATTTTATCAAGCTTACGCAGATGTGTACGACCTGATGGACTTGACCGAGGACCTTGTTTCGAGCCTTGTTAAGCACGTGACCGGTGGCTATGAGACAGTATTCCACACTCAGTCTGGCGAAGTCTACAACGTGAACTGGAAGGCGCCATGGCGGCGAGTAGAGATGATGCCTGCCCTCGAGGAGGCTTGCGGCGAGAAGTTCCCTCCTGGTGACCAGCTCCACACCGAGGAGACCAACGAATTCCTTAAGCGTGTGCTAAAGAAGATGAACGTGGATTGCTCAGCTCCTCAGACCAATGCCCGTATGCTCGATAAGCTGGTTGGTGAATTCATTGAGAGCACTTGTATCAACCCCACTTTTATCACCGGCCACCCCCAGATGATGTCGCCACTGGCCAAGAAGCACCGCCAAATGGCTGGTCTTTGCGAGCGGTTTGAAGCCTTCGTTTGGTAAGTTCTCGCTCAACTTGTACTTGCTTGAATCCTCCCTGTTTCTTCCGAACTTTCCCTGCTCAAGATTGGAACAAATTCGCTCCCAAAATTGGCCAATGGACTTTTGAGAAATTTTAGCTAACTCAATTATAGCACCAAGGAGATCACAAATGCTTACACGGAGTTGAACGATCCCTTTGATCAGCGTATGCGCTTCGAGGAGCAGGCCAACCAGAAGGATCAAGGTGATGACGAGGCTCAGATGATTGATGAGACTTTCTGCCAATCTCTCGAGTACGGTCTGCCCCCGACTGGTGGCTGGGGTATGGGAATTGACCGCATGGTCATGTTCATCACCGACAACTACAGCATCAAGGAGGTGATGACCTTCCCCATGATGAAGGAGGACAAGACCGCCGCCCACCCCAGCACTGCTGCCGAAGTCGCCGGTATTGAGCCCAGTCCCGAAGAAGGAATCCGTATGTTATTAATATCAGGACATTTCCACGAACCGGTATCACTGACGATGAATATACAGCCCACAAATGAATAAACTGATATGATTGCTCGACATCACAATGTTGATGCTATTGATGTGTGATGTGTCTTGGGGTTTGCATGCAATTCTCTGTTTTATGATAAATGCAGCAGATAAAATAGGTTCTCAAAAATATCTCGGCGATATAGCCAACTTTCAAACAACTTGTGTTTATTCGATCCAAGATCAGAGTTCGTATCTAAAGAAAGCAGATATCTCTTCACCAGAAGGTAGGCCATCCATCGATCTCTAATCAATATTTAGCCCTAAGGATGTTGATCGGAGGTTAACCACCCGCTCAGTTTAATCAATTATTCCTGTGCTGTGTTTTCGAGGGCTCTGATCTGTTTGCTTGTTCTTAAGCGGCACTGTCCTCAAATTACCAGGCGCCATCCGATCCTATGAGACTGTATATAACAATGCTCAATACAACATGCATCTGACAAGCCTTCATCAACCCCAAGCCTTTTATCTACACCTACCACTTATCCATTTCCATTTTCATTTCGTAAATCCCCATCCTATTCCCTTTTTTTTACCTTTTTGCTCAAAGCAATATTTCTTTCCAACATCATCAAGTACCATCGAGCACGGCTCTGATGCAATCATGGTCCATCATACTATGCCTCTCCCTCGCATCCCAGATCTGAGTCTCCCATCTTTTCGAGAGCTCGACGAGTCCGTCGAAGCCAACAGGCGCAACCAACCGAGCATTCATGTTTCTAGCAATATGTATGAGGGAACAAGCAACAGTTCCTCGTCTTCGCCACAAAATATCAATACCGTTCCCAACCCGTACCCACCCTATCCAGCTAATGGATGGCTTGTCCCGCCTGACCCCAGCCAGAATGTTTGTATTTATCCGTCTCTCCCTTGAGATATCATTCTAAAATCTAGCCAGGCTTTTCGAGAACCCGGATTTACCTATCAACCCGTGAACGTGCGTATAGAAGGATAGATATCCGAAGCATAAAGTATCGCATGGCTGACTTCCCAACAGCAGGGCTCTGTCACAGTGCTTCAACCCAATGTAAACGTGGACAGGGGTAAGAAAGAGACAGCAAAAACCGGTATCTCAGGCCAAAAGTGCAACTTACGAGACCATCCTACAGAGATAAATCCCACCCCTCAACTCCCTCTACGCCCGAAGGAAATTCAGTCATCCCCTACACCCACGCAATCGACTCTTAGCTCCGCCCAGTCGACACTCCGCGGGCCACTATCTCCAAGCACCGAAGTGTCATCAACCCCGGAAAAGGTCTCCCCGAATTTAACTCGACAAATCCTAACAAATCGGCAACCACCGAACGGGCAGGCCCGCCAGAGGGTGAGTCGCGATGCAGCCGCAACTCACCGAGCTCAGAGACGACGAGTCGGCGTTCATTTCTCAGAAGTGGCAGCCCACACCGCGAAATGCGACGTATGCAACAAGCGCAACAAGAATGGCATGTCTCGCTGTCAGAACTGCGGCTGGCAAGTCTGCCGCAAGTGTCTGACCGACCGAAACGGAGACCGAACACACGCTTCTTTCGGCGCTACTCATGTCCCTGAGGGCGGTGGCGATATGCCAGTATCTTTGCCATCTGTAGATGGGAACCAAGACCGCCGACGCTCTGATTCAACTGTCGAAGTGAGAGCTGCGCAAACTCTGCTGGATCTTGGCTCTTTTGGTAACAGTACTCCTAGTGCCACCTGCGAGGTGGCAAGTAACGGTGGTGGACAGAAAGTGGCTGCTGCGCTTGCACCAGTCTTACAGCAGCAGGTTGATGCTTTGTCTACTGATTCTGATATGACCTTGTCTGTTGTTGGAGATGAGGAGTGGCCTCAGGATGAGCCTGATGTCCCTATTGGTGAGGACGGTCTCCCTATTGGATACATCATAACACGACGCAACCCTGCACGTGCTGCGAGACCTTCTGCGAAGATGGCGGAGTAAGTGAGTGTGGATTTTACGAGGCTGGCAAAAGCAAGAACGTCTCCCTGAGATCTGGAAAATGAATGTAAGAAGATGGTGGAAGGCAAGCGTGGAGACATGGCAGATGAGGACAGAAATATGACGAACGAGAAAAAGGAGGAAAAGAGAGAAAAGAAAAACGGTTTGGTACTTCTGGCATATCAGTTTTTGATTTAAGTAGATCAACGAATAAAACTTCGGTTAGTTTCAAAATATATTTTTACAATCAGTAGAAAGACTAGTTATACAATAAGACTCGAGCGAAGCTCGAGTCAACAGATGAATGGAGATGGTATCAATTACCAGGCGATTGGTTAACACAATCAATCCTGGTCGGCATATTCATACTCTTGAAAGGCAAGGGTATTAGACTCTCTTCAGGGCAGAGGCAGCAGTGTTAGAGAGCTGCTGGGACCGAGCTTTCGCGGCCATCTGCAACAGTTTGGCTGTACGCGACGGATGCCAGACTCGGCTGCCCAAAATGATGACCCAGGTCAGAAGGAACAAGCTGCCAGCCTGGTGGGCGGAGGCAAGCGGAGTGGGAACAAGGTACAGAAGAGTGGTAATACCCAGTCCGACTTGGCAACAGGCGAACGCGAACACGCCGTGGACACCCTTTCTAGCAGGTGCCGGCAAGTAACGCTTCATGGTGGGCGAGCGGCGAGTGTAAACCATCAATGCACAAATAGCGGTGAATGTGGTCATTGCGAGGATGCGGTGGTCAAGCTGAACAAGAGAAGGATTCTCGAGCATGTTGCGCCACCAAAGATCTGAGCGGTCCTCGTGGCGGGAGTAGCGGGCATCGAATAGCTCATCCTTTGGAGGTGCTAGTCCTTTGCCCATCCATGGGAATTCATTGTAAATAAGTCCTGCATCAAGACCAGCGACAAGACCTCCTGAAATAACGGTTGTGAAGACCAAAAGAGCAATGCCGGCGACTGAGCGGCGGAAGAAGGCCAGCTTCGGGTCACGCAGCGCATTCAGCTGGTTGATTCCAACAGCTGGGTCGGCCATCAACCGATGGGACCGCAAAATAGCAAGACCGTTCCACAACATTGCGACGTAGCAAACGAAAGCAGCACCCAAGTGAGCAGTCAGACGGTATTGGCTCACTCGCGGGTGACTGCCCGGAGCAAAGAGATCATCCTTCAGGCCAGACTTGACCATCCACCAGCCGAGGAATCCCTGGAAACCAATAAGACCAGCAATTCCAAAGACGCGCAACGCCATGGGCGCGGAGACCTTCTTTCGGGCGACGAAGTAGACTGCAGGCAGCACAAATGAGATTCCGACAAACCGGCCCCAGAGCCGGTGAATCCATTCCATATAGTAGATCTCCTTGAACTCGGAGATAGTCATGTTCGGGTTAAGCAATTGAAATTCGGGAGAGGCGCGGTATTTTGAGAACTCATCCTCCCAGTGTTCCGCGTTCATTGGGGGGAGGGAGCCGGTAACAGGTCGCCATTCGGTGATACTCAATCTGTGCCAAAATTCGTCCCGTTAGCATTCAAAGCTCACTCTTTGTGAAGAACAAGGAGCCTAATTCACATACCCTGATTCTGTCAGCCTTGTCAAACCACCGAAGACCACAATTCCAAAAACACTGGCTGCACTGCCTAGCAGCCAGTAGGCCACGGCCTTATCGCTAATTTTGGGGAAGCTCGATTTTCCTTTCACGGCGCCCTCTGCAACTGTCTCTGCGACGGCCGGTGCAGCGTTTGAACGCTTGAGACTGGAGGTGAAGAATTCACGGTTCTTATTGTTCAGAATGGTCGATTTGCTGGGTTGACGGAACTGGAGAGCACCAAATTGGCGGATTGATTTGGCTGCGTAGCCCTGACTTGGTAGGCATTGGGATGTGAAAAAGTCCTTGGCCAAACGAGGCGCAGCACTCCGCCATAGCGACAGAGAGCTCCTCAGAGAAGCCATGGTTGTGGTAGATGAGTGAAAGAAGGAACTGAGTGAAATTCGGGGATTGTACGATGTCGCGGAATGTCTTGGCCAATCAGCTGTGGAGCATTTGTCGGAGTGGAATAGCACTGTCGACAGTACTCAACAGTTGACAGTGGAATTATTATATTTGAGAGACTACTGACATCTAAAATATGTATTTGATTTAGAATTGACCACGAGTATCCATGTACGGGCCCAATAAAGATGTTGGTGCCTCAGGCGACTACACCTCGGGCGTTATGATCGCCGCAGCTCCAACCATCCGCGTTGTATTGATCCGCATCACTTGACTTTCTTCCCAGCGCAGCGCCAACATGTCCTACGCTCTGGAATCAAAGAAGCGAAAGTTCCACCGTGTCCTCGAGTCAATATCCAAACCTCTTACTACCGACAACGCGCCCAAACCAGCCCCTGCGACACCGACGACGGCGCAAGACCGTATCTCCGCCAACTTATCGATCAAGAAAGTACGCCTGGCTAGTGCCGACCGGTCAGAGCTCACAGCAGTTCGCAACTCAATCCAAAAGATCTCCCGACCTGCACACCGAATTGCGTCCGCAAATTCGAATAAGCGCCCAACCTTTGTCCCTTGGGACCGCGAACGTTTTCTCGAGCGATTAGAGACCTTCCGCCGCGTCGACCGATGGACGTCAAAGCCAACTCCGATCAATGAAGTAAAATGGGCGAAGCATGGTTGGATATGTACAGATGTTATGCGAGTCACCTGCGTGAGTGATTGCGGTGGCGCAGTTGTTGTGAAGCTCCCCGATGAAATCGATGAGCTTGATGGCTTCAACATTGAGAAGGTGGAGGAGCGGAAGGAAGTCCGTGAGTAATCGAGCAGATTGCTAGTCCAGCCGAACAGGATTATATGCTAACCTATATAAATACAGGCGCGAGGCTGGTGGATGAGTATGCGAAAATGATAAGCAGTGCTCATGGTGAAACCTGTCCCTGGCGAAACAAGAGCTGTGATGGTGAGTCTGAATAGGACACCGATTATTTGTCCCATGACTAACATTAAATTAGCAACCATTCAACATCTCCCTCTGACCAATTGTGATGCTGCCCTATCGGGACTTCACGAGCGATATACAAAAATCTCGAAGATGGGCGATAAATTACCAGCTGAGGATATCGTTCAGACTCCAGAAGGGCTTGACCTTGATGTTCTTATCAAAGGACTTCCCGAAGAATGGTTCGAGGAGGCCGAGAAAGCTGATGTATCCACCAGGGCAGAGACTCAGCCTACAAACGTTGACAACCAAGTCACAATACCACAATCAGTGAATCGAACTGCACTGGCGCTAGCATTGCTCGGCTGGGATACTGCCTCCGATGGAGCTGCCGGGTTAGTCGGATGCGGTGCATGTTTCCGTCGCCTCGGGTTATGGATGTATAAACCCAAGGACAATGGAGATGTAACTGTCTACACTTCCCTCAATGTGGCCGAGGAGCACATGGAGTACTGTCCATGGATTGACAAGGTAGCCCAAAGTGGCACTGGACGGCCCAACGAGAATTTGGCGGACCTACGTGCTGGGTGGCAGATGGTCGCGGAGGCCGTGAAGGTCAAGCACCGCCGCAGACTTCGTACTATGGGCTCCACAGATACATTGCGGACGGATCTAGGCACACCAACCGAGACTACAGGTGAAGAAGAAAATGCGGATGCGAAAAAGAAAGCAGAACGCGAGTGGTGGGCGAAAATCCGACGAGTGAGACAAGTTTTGACGACCAAGTCGCCAAAACGGAAAGCTGTCTTGCCTGAATGATCTTACATTCTGATCTTCATTTCTGTTCAACATTACATTAATTGGAGCGTGGGTTTTATGAATAGGGTTAAATTGCATTTTTCAGCGGCTTGTGGTTTTCAGATAGCTTCTATTGATGGTCATTGTGAGATACGACACTTAGCAATGATGAGAATACATTTATCTCATATTTATCCTTAGACACCGTGATATAACACTCCTGTAGATAAATGAAAGAGAATTAGGGTTGGGTTGGGACGCTCTGATTGGCCGAGATCCGGAGCTCGTTGGACGTTCTTCAAACCTCACCCGGGCAGTGCTCTGATATAACTCTGACTTCCACAACACCAGAGGCGATGTTTCTGAAATCACCCTAGAATTCTCTATTTCTTCTAATATTTTTCTAATTTCGATATACCCCTTTCTTTGCTTACTACATCCGAACGTCCTGTTACCCCAAAACATTTCTTTGAACAGTTCACAACTCTACTCGCGTCGCCATGGATCATTCCAATGGAAATGGAGCCCATGATGGAGCTCCCGGTCGCTCTAATCCCCGCTCGCCCGCCCGCACAAATACCACACACCCTCCAGCGGATACCGGCAGACACAGGAGCATGGAAGGAGACAGCACGGCAGACGGATCCTTATCAAGCGCAGCATCCAAGCGCAAGAGACTCCAAGAGAGACACCAAGCCCTCCGAAAACGGGGGCGAACTCCGCCGTCAGTATTCTCGCGACGCAATCGCTCCCGCAGCCCAGGCGGCGCCCCACCACGCGACGACCGACGCTCTCGATCGCCACTACTGCCACGCCGTTCTCCCTCCCCTGATGCACCGCGTCAACGCAAGAGACCTGGCGGCGGAGCGCGACAGGGACTTCTAGATCGCGAAACACTACGACGCAAACAGGAGGAACGCGAACGTGCAGAGCAGGATGAGGCTATGCGCAATTCTCAGCAGCGCGGCGTCGCGGACGTCGTCCGACAACACTACAACGCGGTTCCCGAGAGAGGTCGTGAGTGGCGCAAGACAGAGAGCAAGATCAAGGGGTTGCGAAGCTTCAATAACTGGGTGAAGAGTACTTTGATCCAGAAGTTTTCGCCTGATGAGAATTTTGTCGCGCGATTCGAGGATAGCAAGGACTGGGCGGACGATAGCCAAGGGCCGCCGCCCGCTGCTGATCAGAAGCTTCTCGTGCTGGATCTGGGCTGTGGTAAGGGAGGTGATCTGGGCAAGTGGCAGCTGGCGCCTCAGCCGGTTGACCTCTATGTCGGTCTTGACCCTGCGAATATCTCCATTGAGCAGGCACGGGGTCGGTACGATCAAATGCGCTCGGGCCGCGGTCAGCGAGGCCGTCGACCTCCCCAGCCGATCTTCCATGCTGAATTCTACCCGAAAGACTGCTTTGGTGAGTGGCTGGGCGATGTCGACATCGTCCAGCGGGTTGGTATCGATGCTAACGCCGGCCCCGGCGGGTCCATCATGGCCTCTCGCTACGGTGGTGGAGGCTTTGACATCGTTACATCTATGTTTGCCATTCACTATGCCTTTGAGACTGAGGAGAAGACGCGTCAGATGCTCAGCAATGTCGCAGGTTGCTTGAAGAAAGGCGGTCGTTTCCTTGGCGTTTGCCCTAACTCAGACGTCATTACCAGCCGCGTTTCTGCCTTCCATAAGCAGCGCAAGGAGCGCGAGGCTGCCAAACCTGCTGAACCGGAAGGCCCCGAGGATGGCGAAGTCGAGGAGGATGAGCGAGCCCAGTGGGGCAACGATATCTACCGTGTTCAGTTCCCTGGCCCAACCCCTGAGGATGGAATCTTCCGTCCGCCCTTCGGGTGGAAGTACAGCTACTTCATGAAGGAGGCAGTAGAAGAGGTTCCGGAATACGTCGTTCCATGGGAGGCTTTCCGAGCGTGAGTGTCAGCCATCATCGTATTCTGCCATGCACAACTAACTTTTTACCCAGCCTGACCGAAGATTACAACCTGGAGCTGCAATATCGCAAGCCATTTTTGGATATCTGGGAGGACGAGAAGAATCATCCCGAGCTGGGCCCGCTCAGTGAGCGGATGGGTGTAAGAGACCGCGTGACCGGTGCTTTGAATATGACGGAGGAGGAGAAGGAGGCTGCCAGTGAGTAATCCCCGTACATACATTGCTTTTCACGGCCGCTAACAGATGACATCGCCAGGCTTCTACCATGCGTACTGCTTCTACAAGGTATAGACTAATGGATGCTTTGAATATTTCATTGACTGTACGTGTAAAGTATTCCTAGCTTAGCATTTGCATTTTCTATTTCAAAGAATCATCTACTTGAATGTCCAAACAACTAGAGTTTCCAACAAGACTTCAAAATATATATATAACAGAATCACCATCAACGATTACAATCCTCGAAATAAACACATCCACCGGCATACATAGCCATTCCTTTCCAATGAAAACTCAAGCAGACCTTCTCAATTTACGAGTCTACTAGTATTGCCAAATATCGTCATCCTTCTATAAATCCTACTGCTGCTGAATCTGAAATCCAGCGAACTCTACAATGCCCGTCAAATTACGCACAGACCCGCTAAAATCCTCCACAGTTTCACCATCCCTCTTAAGAACCGTCACCCTCTGCGCTTCAAAATACGTCTGCGCTTCTACAAAATCAGGAACAACGAGCCCAACATACCCGAAATTATTAGTTTCTTTTTGTTGACCCAATAAGCCGGTCGCCCCAATCAACTGCAGTTCCAGTAACCTGTAAATATTGTTCTTGGCCACCCCCGTCCCTACCCCGGACTGATGTGGTTTAGGGTGGGCCTTCTGGTTGCTTCTGGGGCCGGCCTCGGTAACTTTTGTTAAGGGGTTTGGGTATCGGCACATCGCGGTGGGTCAGGTTACATGTTTAGCTATTTAGATTACGAGAAGGAAAAACAGGTTGCAAGCGACCTCGGGAGGCTTCTATATATATTTGAGGTTACTGGATTTTATGAGTGGTCTTGATCAGAGGATGGATATATAAACGGCCATCGTTCGGGATATACATATTTCTACTAGAAGTATTCCGAGGTATTTCTGTCTTTTTATATGTATCGAGTGAATATCAAAAGATTATTTACTCAGAAAGTAATTATAAAACATGCAGCGATTTACAAAACACTACACATCGTGTTTACTAAACTCGTCGGTTGACTATACCTCGTATCGCAGTGAGACAATGAGCTGTTCGAATTGGTAGGCGCTGGACGCAAGCTAGCTTTATATGGTGAGACCTGGCGTTACGCCAAGACTGAAGCCCAGCCTCAGGGTCTAATTGTGTTGGAAATTCTATGCGTTATCCATTTTGGTGGCTTCTAGGGTTGATTGTGGGGTGTGATCGAGTCCTAGGCGGGCAGCCACTACTGGGGTCTCTTGGCGACATATACACCGTCAGGGGCCATAGCGCCGCATCAAATTGCTACGTTATGGTCTTTCGTAAGTGCAGGTCAGTGCTCAAATGAAATGTGTATCAGACGCCAAGCCACCCGCATCTTTGATATGGTAGTTGGATTGGGGGCGTGATAGTCGCTGTAACTGTCGTTGTGACTGCCATTTGATCGAAGCTCGGAGGAAATGTAATACCATATTTATAACATGGGGATCCTTGTCGATGGTAGGTCTTTGCTTTTGATTAAGGCGTCCCATACAACGGAGTTGTTCGAAGTAGACTGCCAGCTGAATATAGGGCTGATAGTGTAGGGTTTCATCCATCATTAAATTGCACAATCACCATGCATGAGCTGATATTATAGAAACTCCGGTGCGATATTCTAGCGACATTGATATGCGGCTTTTCTTGCTTGAGTATCACAAATAGCATCGGTATGTACTTCGATCTTCCCCGATGAACTATTTTGTGACATGCATGGGGCACGAACGATATATTTTAAATGAATATGCTGAATTGCGTTCATCTTAGAACTTTGATTTAAGAACATTTGTACCCTGCTTAGTTGAAGAGATACGGTCGTGTAGGACAGCCTCAAGAACAGTGATGACTTTTGGCTCGATCGGTTTCCTGGGCAAGATTGTCGCTTGCCGGCGAGGATGAATAATCCTGACTAGAGAATAGGTAAGAGTGTTGTTTGGATATCTTGATATTTTGCACCTAGAAATAAACATGAGAGTCTTTCTTAAGAATATGCTCGACATACCTGTCCAGGCCCACCTGAGCACTCCATAGATAAGGCTTATCGGTACTATATGTAAACCCAAACGGGACTAGCGTCATCGCGTCTCGCGTCGGGATTTCGAGATGCTCTTTGTTACTTGAACTTTCTTTGTCAACGGATTGGGAACGCTGTACTCGAATCAAAACATAAAACCCCCAGTAATCCAGGTATCCTCAACTAACCTTCTACAACAGTGTTCTCCCCAACAACAATGTCGGCCACACCAAGCCGACAGCAGTCAGCGCTATCTCAGTCCTATCCACAATCAGCACAATCACGTAGACGAAACACCCACACCTCAATTTCAGAATCCACACCCCTGCCAGCATATGAGCCTCCCGAGGCCCCTCTCACAGCAGAAAGCCAGCGCAAAATTGCTGCTCTCCTCGCATCACAACACTTCAAACTCCTCCGCACCCACCTCCAACACGCCGCCGAGAAACTCACACACTCAGGCGGTGAAGTGAACGAGCGTCTCAGCGATGCCCGGATCCGGTACGAGAAATCAAAAGAAACGCGCCGGCGTCAAGGCGAAGATGTCGACGACGACGACGAAAGCAATGAGGAGTACCAGCAGCTTGCTGAGGCAGAGGCTCGAGTCGAGGCTATCACCTCGCGAATGGAGGAGAAGACACGCCAAGTTGTCGATTCAGAGATGAAACTCCAGGGTTTGACTGATGCGATGGGTCAAATTGAAAGGGAGGAGGGTGAGAATGTTGCTGCTGCTTTGGGAGTCAGACAGACCCGTCAACAGCGCGCAAGACAGAGAGCCAATAATGCCGAGGATGCCGATGGGACTGAGGATCCCGCCGATGTTGATTACGAAGATGAGCAGGAGAAAGAGATGCGCGAGCGCAATGCACAGAATCCTCCTAGTCGCAAGCTGGTCGATAAGTTGACTGAGGGCGCTCAGAAATGGGATGAACTTTCTTTGACAGAAAAGTATGGGATTTACCCCTGGACATATTTGCCTTCTACTCGAAGATGCAGAAACTGACAACTACGATCTAGATACGCCGGCAATAACTCCTACATCGGCTTCTACCGCATGGTTCACGACTCCAAGTTCCCCGGCGACGACGTCCCGCCACTGCCGCACTCATCTACATGGTTCGAGCATATGGAAGATACGAATACGCGATCAGGGGCACCGGCACGCACGCGCAACCAGAACCGAGGCCCCCCGCCCACCGAATCGGACGATGACATCGCCATTGAGCGCGAGCGTATCTCCCTCAAATGTCCATTGACTCTCACATCTTACCAGGATCCTGTCACGAGCACCAAGTGTCCTCACAGCTTCGAGCGCGAGGCTATTATGGATATGATCAATCGCAGCCAGACGACTATTGCACCCCCGGCCTCTCGTCGGGGCCAGCGCCGCGTGCATGTGGTTAAATGTCCTGTTTGTTCTACTCCGTTGACTGCAGATGATTTCCGACCAGACCCTGTTCTACTACGTCGTGTTCGTCGTGCGCAAGAGCTCCAGCAGCGCGAAGATGAGGATGATCACCTTGAAGGGGATGGCAGAAAGCAGAAGGATCGCAGTACCGGTATTACCTTGGGTAGTGACGGGGAAAGTGATGATGATGCGATGGATGTTGATGCCCATCCTGCTTCACAGCATATCAAAGCGGAGCCGCTTAGTCAGGCTGTTACGACAGCTCAATCTGATGATGAAGAGGGCGATGATGCGGAGAGTCAAGATGCTGAAGCCGAGGAAGCTGAAGCTGAGGATGCTGAGGTTGAGGATGCGGGGAATGCGGAAGGGGAGAGTGAAGAGAGGGAGACCGTTGATGAGGATGAGGAAGAGGAAGAGGAGGATGAGGAAGAAGAAGAAGAAGAAGAAGAAGAAGAAGAAGAGGAAGACCAGAAGGAAGAAGTGGAGGATGAAGAGACGGAAAGTGATGAGACGGATAATGAAGTGGGGACTGAAAAGGGTAAGATCGACAAACTGTATAACGAAGTGGAGAATGAAGTGGAGACTGAACAAGGGCAGAACGAAGAGATGGACACCGACGAACCGGAAAATGAAGAAGAGCTGAACGAAGAAGTGGAAATCGATAAGGGGGATACTGAGGAAGTGCCTACCGAGGAAAGTCAGAAGGAAGAAGCGCAGCAAGAGGAGACACACAGTGAATTGGAGGAGGATGTGAAAGATGGAGACAAGAACGGGGAGACTGAAACTGTGGATTCTCGAAATGATGTGCAACAAGCAGATGGACAGAGCCAGGAAAGTCAAAATGAAACTCTGGATTCTCCAAAGGATGTTCACCAAGCCGACACCCAGAATGAGGAAGGTCAAACTGAAGCTCTAGATTCTCCGAAGGATGTGCAACAAGCCGACGCGCAGAATGAGGAAATTCAAGATGAATCTGTGGATTCTTCCTCTGATGTACAGAGCGAGGAATGGCAGAATGAAGCTGCGGATTCTCCTGCTGATGCAAAGAGCGAGGAAGAGCAGAATGACGCCGTCGATTCTCCGATAGACGCTCACCAAGCGGATGCCCAGAGTGAGAAAAGTCAGGAAGAAACTCTAGATTCTCCGAAGGATGTGCAGAGCGAGGAATGGCAAGATGAAGCTATCGATTCTCCAACAGACGTTCACCAAGCGGATACCCAGAGTGAGCAAGGTCAGACGGAAGCTCTAGATTCTCCGAAGGATGTGCAGACCGAGGAAAGTCAAGATGAAGCTGTGGATTCTCCGAAGGATGTGGAACAAGCGGAGGTGCAGAGTGATGAAGGCCAGAGCGGGGCAAGTCAGGATGAGACTCTAGATTCTCCAAAGGATCCATCCCAGGCGAATGTGCAGAGCGAGGAAATTGGGAATGAAACTCTAGAATCTCCGAAGGATTCGCCAGTGGACGCGGAGAGCGATGAAGGCCACGATGAAACTCTAGATTCCCCGGATGCGCACCAAGCGGATGTGTCCAGCGAAAAAGACCAGACTGAAGTTGTGGATTCCTCGAAGGATGCGCATCAGGCGGATCTCCAGAGCGACGAAAGTCAAAATGTGGCTGTCAAATCTCCCCAGGTGCCACAAGACGTACCGAGTGAGAAAGGTCAGGACGAAGCTCTAGACTCTCAGGATGCTCCCCAAGATGGACAAAGCGACGAAGGTCAGAATGTGGCTGTCAAATTTCCCCAGAAAGGTCAGAATAAAGACGACAGTGACAGCGGCAGTGACAGCGACAGTGAGGATAGCGATAGTGATATTGAGCCCAAAGTCGAGAGTGGGTCCGAAGAAGGAATGGATAGTGATTGATATGCATGGACGCCTCCCCTTTCAAGCCAAAAATTAAATGAAGTGCCTTTCCATTAATCCGGGAAAATGAAACGTTTCAAAAATCGGAGAATTTCCAAGATTCCATTCCATGTGGTTGACAGTAGTACTACCTAGAATAGACTCAGATCAGATTACATCTTACATACATATAATATGTATATGTACGGAGTATATGTATGATCCATATAGTTAGATCTTGAGTGTCTCATGTAATCAAAATATTCATTTTTTGACGGTTCAATTTCCGAAAGAAGAAAAAAAAGGAATAACGCTAATCCCCTCGTGGTGACTCCCCCGCAGTCCAACGGAATGTGTTGTGGGACCCGGGCCAATCAACGTGGGGAATATCCGGTTGTAGTTTAGCGGTCTTTCTTTCCCTTTGTATAAAAGCCCTGGAAGGGTTTAGTCAGTAAGGCTAAGAGTGTTAATAATCATATTTTAATACGACACTAAGTGTTTAGATCTCTGACTCCCCCAAGAGAAAAATAAGCCCCATAGTAACCCTGATGACCATACAAATACTACATATGCCAATCCCCCCCCGGTCGTTCTCACGCGACAACCTTGTCTACAGACGAAACAGTACCATCAGGGTGTAACACTGCTATCAAAGCGCTCTGGCCCCCATCCACAACTCCCCGCAAATAGAAACCCTCCAATTGTATCTACCACCAATATCTAAGCTCCCTTTGCTCTAAGGCCAGCCACACAAAATATAGCTTCAGCCCGTGACCAAATTCCCCCCAATGCTACCCTGCAACATATGCTATTCTGGATATTGATACATCTATCTCTTAATTACAATTTCTACAATTTCCACACTTCTCATTGGCCTATACTCCTTCAAAACTAAACTGGCAGGGGTACATTCTCCAAGCTTGCTATCTTTTGAATTTTTGTTTTAAAGATCTCTCCATGTCTCCTTTTTGACATCTTCTCTCTCCACACGATACACTCTTAACCCACAACAACACCTTTTATCTAGTTCTATTCTTCTGCGGCCTCCAGCTGCCCCATTCATTCATAATGGATGAACAGAAGACTCCCGTCGAAACCGCCGTCGAGCCAGAGCCCACCTATCGACCCTCGGGATGGATGTACAAGGACAGGAAGATCGGCAAATTCTCCACGAGTTGGTATGCATCGCCTCGCATCCAGTTGGGCATGGTCGCGTTCGTCTGCTTCCTGTGCCCAGGCATGTTCAACGCCCTGAGCGGAATGGGCGGTGGTGGCAAGTCCGACCCCAGCTTGGCTGATAAAATGGTACGATAGACAATCTTTTTGTTTTTTTGGGACTTTTGTTTTCCTAATCTTTTTGTTTTGTTTTTCTTTTCGTCCCCCACTTCTACAATCTGATACTCCGATTGGTCGCATTTCTATAATTTCATCTAACAAAAAAACAGAATATCGCCCTGAACAGTACCTTCGCCGTCGTTGGTTTCTTCGCTGGAAGTATCGTCAACCGCATGGGAGTTCGACTTTCGCTTTCTTTCGGTGGTGTCGGTTACTGCATTTACTCCATCAGTCTTCTCGTCTCCGAGCATGCTTATGTCCCCGGTTTCAATATCTTCGCCGGCGCCTTCCTCGGTGTGTGCGCCGGTCTGCTCTGGGCCGCCCAGGGAACCATCATGATGTCCTACCCGATCGAGCAGCAGAAGGGTCGCTACTTCGCCTGGTTCTGGGGTATTTTCAACGTCGGCGCCTGTATTGGTAGTTTGGTGAGTCCCAGCTCAAGTTCCAGTCCTATTATCTGGCCCTCACAATTGACTATATCACAATTGGCCATATCCAAAACCAAAAAAGAAAAAACTAACATATCCGATTACAGATCCCTCTCGGCCAAAATATCCACGTCAAGGAGAACAAGACCGTCGGCGACGGCACCTACATCGCCTTCATCATCCTCATGTTCGCCGGTGCCGTTCTCGCCCTGTTCATCTGCGACGCCGACAAGGTCGTCCGTCGCGACGGCTCCCGCGTCATCCTCATGAAGCACCCATCGTGGAAATCCGAGATCATCGGTATGTGGGATACCATCCGCGGCGAGCCCTGGATCATCCTGCTATTCCCCATGTTCTGGTCCTCCAACTGGTTCTACACATACCAGCAGAACGCCATTAACGGCGCGTACTTCAACACCCGCACCAAGGCCCTCAACGGATTCCTGTACTGGTTTGCTCAGATCGTTGCTGCTGTGATCATGGGTCCGCTGCTTGATACCGAGCGCATTCGTCGCTCAGTTCGTGCCAAGATCGCTCTGGTTACCCTTTTCGTTCTTACCGTCGTTATCTGGGGAAGTGGATACGCTTGGCAGAAGAGATATACCCGTGAGACTGTGGACCCCAAGACCACTGATTTCAAGGGCTGGGATTGGACTACCTCCGGCTATGTTGGTCCTATGTTCCTTTACTTCTTCTACGGCATGTACGATGCCGCCTGGCAGGGTCTTGTCTACTGGTAAGATTTTCTTCCCTTTTTCTTCCCCGCTATATACATCCCGACTAACATTTCCGCAGGATCATGGGTGCCCTCGGTAACTCCGGCCGTAAGCTCGCCAACTTGGCAGGCTTCTACAAGGGTCTTCAATCCGCCGGTGCGGCCGTGATGTGGTCCCTGGACGAGCGCAAGATCCCCTTCATGAACGAGTACGCCTCGAACTTCGGACTGCTGTGCGGCTCGATCCTCATCGCTGTCCCCGTCGTCTTCTTCAAGATCAAGGACTCCGTTCCCGTCGAGGACGAGCTCGAGGGTACCGGCGAGACCCTCGAGGATGTCCTGCCCCCCGGAGCTATTGAGTCCAGACGTTTGGGCGAGGAGAAGATCTAATCGGAATTAATATGAACTCGAAGAGAATTGGATATTCTTTTTTCTTTTCGTTCTTGCGACGGGCGTCTTGTTGTGGTGGATCTGATGTGAACCTGGCATCTGGGTTTGGGTTGGGGTCTTGATCGAGGACTGCCTTCTGGTTTTTTCATTTTTCATTTTACATTGTTTTTTCTTTTGTGATTCCCGGCTGCTGGCGCGATTCGGTCAGTGCCTCTTTGGGTCTCTATTTTTATGAAAGTCGGGTTTTAATGGTGAATTGTTTTCACTTTCATGATGGAATGTCTATCCTTGTGGTCCTGTTCTGGGCTTGCGTTTGCTGCGCCGGAATGGGATTTATTCACTTAAATAATGGAAAGACTTACATATGTCTATGCTTTTGTCCATTCTAACTAAATGAAGGATATTGATACCTTCTGAACTATCCCTCGATATTGAGAGTAAATGAGTCAAAAATAAAAGTTAGTGCCAAAGCTCACATGCTCAAGTCTACCTAGGGTAGAGCCTTCACCTCCTCTCGACTCTCCGCGAGCCGAGGTATAGTATCCATTCAATATGTCCGAAAAACATTATTCAACATAAAGGAGTTGGTTATAATTAAACAAGGAGAGTGCTGGTATTTCTTTACTAGAAATATATTTATGACTCTTAAACAAATACAAGCCTACATAGACCAGTGGGATAGATTATTTTACCATTTAAAAAAAAGAAAAAGAATGAAATAGCCAAGTAAGCTATCTATCCTAAGGATCCTACCTAACAAATCTATCTCAAGCAGACATCGTGGCCCAAGACTATCGACATACAGTATGATAGAGGCAAAGAAAAGAGCAAGACAAGGGGGTATTCGCTTGTCGAAACGCAGCAAAACAAAAAATAAAAAAACAAGCGAATGAGCAAGGAACCGACAAAAGACTATGCGTTGTATTCGTATTCTGTTGTCGTGCCGATTTTCCGGAGAAGACCTCGTATTCTCCGACGTATTTTCATTTTTCTCCCGGAATGAAAAAAAGAAAAAGAAGTTGCAAGTGGGAAGAACCCTTCGCCGATACCATTTTCCGAATATCCAGGAACCAAATCTACCGTTGGGTACTTTGTCATTGTAGGAGTGGCGGTTTGTGTGATGCACACAGACCAGATGGAGCATAATATTCTCGGATGTTGGATTGGCTGTGTTCCTCCGGACGCTGCGCTTCCCATGGATGTTAAAAATAGCAGATTGTGTCTATTGATAGACTGGCATGCTGAACATATTAAATCGCGGAATTGAGCAATAGGTCGATGCGATGTTGTGTAATCGTTGCGGTGGCAATGTAGCAATGTAAAAGAATGAAACCCGAAAATCCAGGCTTTCAAAAGCCGGTCAAGTAAGCTTACTTGGTGAGAAGGTTGAGATAATCAGCCACGATGAGCGTGACCATTCTATAGATGCGAGTTAGTGGGGTCAAAGGGAGAAAAAAAACCGGGGTAAAATAGTGGGGGCAACTAACGCATGAGGAGCGATCCGAACGTAGTAAGTTCCGAAACCACGATAGAAGCGCATCCAACCCTCTTCCTTGACAACTTTGCGCGCGCAATCAATCAAACCCCTATAAGGAAGCAGACCGGTCCTAGGATCCTTCTGCTGCTTCTGAAGACGAGTCTTGATGAAATCGAACGGCAGAGACAAGAAACTAGCAAAGAATCCCGCAATACCAGAAGCAGCGAACGTCTGATTCTGAGTCGACAGAGAAGTATGCTGCTTAAGCTGCTGCTTAGCCTCGGCAAAGAAAGTCAGTTGACCCATATTAAGAGCCATAGCACGAACAACCGTAGGCGAAGCACCCGCCCACAAAGCAGCGAGTCCCTCGGCACGAGTAATACGACCGAGAGCATCGAAGACGGAACGGTAGTTCGCGCGAGCCTCGGGAGCCTTCAGGCCGTCGGACTGCATGCGCACCAGGGCCAGGTCAGCCGGGTTTCCAATCATAGCTGCGATTCCGCCGGCGGTTAGTCCTGCCGCGGCACGTTCAGCGAATGTGACTTTGCGGTTTGCGGCCTCGGCGCGCGCATTGAGCTTCTTGATGAAGGTTTCGAAGAAGCCCAGGCGCGCCGTGGTGTAGACTGCTTGGCGGAGGATTCCGGCCGACAGGCCCGTGTACAGGTCGAGGACTTTGCCCGAGGCAATGATGTCGCGGGTGATGCCGAGGGCGGAGGGACGGGGTCCGGTGCGGCCTCCTTCGCCGGCGAGCTGCAGGCGGACCTTCACCATGTCGACGGGCTGGATTACAGCTGTGGCGGTCATGCCGGCTAGTCCGCCGTTCAGGAAGGGGAGGGCGGTGCGGGTGTAGGGGTGGTGCAGGAAATCTGCGGGATTATCAATGGCGGATTTGGTTGCGTGCTGTGCGGAGACGGCAGCGTTGCTAGCGGTGTCTTTGACAGTGGATGCCATCTTGAAATAGTGGATGCTAGATACGGGTCAGTATAATGTACGAGGTGTATGTGTTGAAGGTCGAGACCAGGGGTGAGGCACTAACAATGAGAAAAGCTGTTCGGAGGGTTAGTAGGATCTCTTTGGTGGATTTAGAAGCCACGGGGGTTGTTCAGTGTGTTGGACCATGGTACTTACAGATGACGTAGTTTGGTTATGGGGGACTCAGTATGATCACCAGATCAACAGATTAACGGTGCTGAACAAGTTGGAGAGTGAAGAGTAGAAAGGAAGGATAATAAAGGAGACACAAGAAAAGTCACAGGACAGAGTAGGTGCGGGGTGCTTTATGTTATAGATTCAACTCATTCTGGTACAACGGGGTCTGAGCTTGTCTATATACTATCACAAGCAACACGTCCGAACCGGAGATTGTCCCCTACCTACCGATGACTCCCCTATAGAGACTAGACACATACCTGTAATATGGAGACAACACTAGACAGTATTGAGCGAAAGTCGCTAGAACCCAGGCCTCCCCAAGGTTTGCGTGTTGGGCCAATGATATTAACATCGTGTTATTAATCGAATTAATCGAGTTAATATGCACGAACGTGGACATGCCTGCACGCTATGGAGCTTGTCGAAATGCGGGGAATTAGCTTGACGATCCTTCGACCTTTGACAATATTATATTTAGTTGAGAGTTATCTGTATATCCCAGCATTGTGTTGAATATTATTTAGTATCTAATACCAGAACAAAATACCATATCCCTCAACCTCATCCCTCTATACTAAAAAGAACGGCATATATATTAGTGGCACGAGCTAAATTCGGAATCCCCACCACTAAAACCCCTTTCGTTCTCCCCCACGAGAAAGTATCGGGATCCCGTCCAGACTGATATACCCGAACACCGCATATGCCTCTCCGGGCCAATCTCGGAGAAGTGAAAATTCATACTACAGAAGCCCGGTAACCTGTTCAAGACCTCAACCTACTCCCAGCACAAAACAAAACATTCAATACAAAACGCACGGATTAGCCGTATATCGGATGACGATTTAATTCTCGGCTCCACAGCCACAATGCCTAGTATTCACTAGACAGGACTAGCCCATTGCCCGGATAAGTACGATCGGATAAGCCTGATCGGCTATAGTAATTTTCACCCGCTCCCTCGGGTCTTGACCCGAGCCTGTCTACACAGCAGTCCAATCGGCCTGCCACAATTACACTGACACTATCCCCGTGGGCCCCGCCCTTGCGCCAAACCCCCCAGTCGCCGACCAACCCCGGTCAACAACCAATCCCATGCATTGAAATTCTAAAGGATGCGCCCCCCTTTCCTTGCGTGGAGATGGATTCCTTGCGTGGAGCTGCGGCTCTCGCTATTATTGTTCAGTCGACAGGGCTAGTTTGTATACATTCCTCCGGTTTGGGGCTTATTTTGGCTCTTTTCCGCCGATGACCGGAAATAATTATGTCAGACAAGCTTCTGCGGTGGATACGGCTGGGCCTGGTGCTGCATCTACTGCGTGGTGTTGGTTGTTTGTGCCGATTACGGATATAAGGTGTCGACTTTCAACGTTTCAAGAGGACCGGGCATGTCGGTAAGAGGTAGCGGAGGACTGTTCTCCGGGAACAGCGTCATATTTTCGTTCGGGGGTACGACCCCCTGAATATTGATCCTGGATGTGGCACGGGGAAAGAACGGGATCTTTTTGACGGGCTTGGTGGTCGAATTGGGGTGGAAGGTGAGCAGAGCGATGCAAGACTAGGCTATGAACAGTGAATGCCCAAGAGAAACTTAGCCTCGGGTATTAACAGAAATAGTATTTGACTTGCTAAAACCAGGTTCCAAGGTTTGAATCGTTATATCCCTCAACGTCCGAGGCCCCCGGTGTAAACCAAACCCAGGACTTCGAAGTACAGCGAAGACGCAATACCCAAGCAGCAACTGCGAATAGCCACGGGCCTTTCCGATGACTAGGAATAAATTCAGCGATTTGCATCATCCTCGGACAAAAACAGAATCACATTCTCGGAGACAGCCGTCCACGAACTCTGTTGTTACTTGTAAACTAACCAGCGCTATTACTACCCCAGTCCAAGTGATCGTGAGATTCTGAGCATGCAATATTCCCCAAAGTACTCCATGAAATCCGGGATCCACTCCGTGCCTAGCTCAGCCCTGAATAATTCCCCAACAATGTGTCAATCAAAAACATAGCGCACCACCACACTCCCTTCACGGGAAGCGTTCTCGGCAAGTCGGGAACTCCACCGGCCTCAAGCCTCGATTTAGCCACACGGGCCCGCCGGCATGCGAATTCGGGAGTGTTTCTTGTATATGAAATTCCTGAACAGGGGTTTCGCATTGAAGAGCCGGGGACGGGATTTAAGAGCGGGAGTGAGGCTTTTTTGCTTGCAGGTTCCAGGTACCTCGCTTTGACCCTCTGACATATGACCTCTGAATATCTTTGGCTAGTTCCTTTTTATTTGCGTCTTGCATGTGTCTTTGGCTATTTTATTGCTGATCTATGTTCTACGCTAAAAGGGTTCTGCATCTATTGAGTGGAATGATCAAATTAGGAGTTCTTTTCGGACCTATCCAACCATCCAACCACCTGAGTTGTACAGAGCAGTTAACAGGTAGAATTACAAGCTCTGCTAGGCCTAGTTCTCTTCCCGACATACGGGTTGAGAGTTGGAACGCTAGATCCATCGTAAAGTCCCCAGTACCTTTATGGAAATCAGCAAGATACTCCCTAAATTGTTTGTGTGAGTTAGCAACAAAGCTGCATCGCACGTTGCGAGCAGGATCAAAAGTGCAAACATCCGACCGAGACGTGGTACCATAGATAATCCAAATCGCATATGTCAGACCGGCAGTCGTAGTGTGGGGTGAATTGCGGTGCTCTTCAAGAAAAGACTCGAAACAGCCCGTCATTTGATAAAGGGCGTAGTATTTCAGATTATTGGTGAACTAACGCTCGGCAAATGAGCACACCTTCGCATTGAGCACAATGGCATCTCGTATGTAGCTTCGACGAATAGGTGAAGAGTCGTTCCACCATCTGAAGAGTAATTAGTAGGCTGAGAGACAAGCCTTGGAATTTTTGATACTTTGGTAGATTCACTGTCTGGAGGAGATTTGTCTTCGGCCTCTTCTGGTTCTGGTTCAAATTCCCGGTTGCCTCTTTCATATGTCTTTGGTTACTTTCTTGCTGATCTATATTTGACACTAAAAGGGTTCTGCATCTAGCCTATTCAATAACCTGGGTGGCACAGTGGTTGGCAAATGGAATAACTGACGCTCTTGTATCTAGTATTCCCATCCTGACGTAAGGACGGAGAGTGCAATGGCCGGGCCCAACATCAATTGTCCAGTTTCTTCGAGTTCGCCCAAATTGTCCTTGATCATCATGCGAAGTTGTCACAAAGTTGCAAAGCCCGCTGCGAGCAGAATATATCACACAAGACTCCTATCTCTTTATTATATTGATGTCAGCTAGGATCCTCTAAAACAACCCCGACTAGGACAAGCTCGCCTTGAACATCGCGAGCTTGCCCGGACAAGTCGTACCTAGTAGAGCAGAGATAAATTAGAAAGTAGTCAGCTGCCTCTTTGTTGAAGTTCGGTTGAGTCTATTTTGAGTAGCCAGGGCAGAGATACCATGGACTAACGTGCGAGTGTAGATATAATAAATGATCTGTACCTAAACCCTAATATCTAAAAGCCACCTCAGTGTCATGACCTCTCCCAATAAGGTTCGCAGGACTCGATGTATATAGATATATAACCTCGCTTATCCGCGTACAACTATACTAGTAGAACTCGGAGTATATATAAGCAACTCAGAGTTCAGTTTAAATATAAGCGGTACTAGTGTTATATATTCGCAGTAGTATCGTAATACTCTTCTCACTCTGATTGATATATACAAGACCCTATATACGCAGGCGTATAGCGGCCAGGGGTCGGATGCGGTCTTTTGTAGTATTGGTGCTTGAAATTTCCTTAGGATGCCTGAATTAAAGCTGGCAAAAAAATATAAATATCTGAATTATTTTAACACATTCATTAGTAAGCAATACTTGAATCCATCCATGGATCTATTCTTCCAAGGTCAAGATGAACGCCTTAAAAATAGGCAACAGGTGCGACGCTATTCGCATTCATACAAATCCTAGGATCCCTTATTTCTGTAGGTCGATAAGTTTGGCGATATGATTGGTTCAAAATTGTTGAGAAATTAGTTATTTGGACGATCAGACGGCTTCAACGCTAGAGAATGTTAAATTTGAGGCATTGTATAAGTATAAATAGCTTCACTATCGTTAGATGAGGAATTGTGCTCGGTTGGGGGGCTTCAACACCCAGAAATGGGTGATTTCGGAGATTTGTATAGTGGGAATAGCTTCAATGTAGGAGCTTCGTTTACAATACACTGTATAGAGCGGTGTGAAAAGGCGGTAGAAAATCGGGTATATTCAGGCACCAATACTAAACAAAACCGCATCCGACCCCTGGCCGCTATACACCTGCGTAAACGTAGCAAACCCCTTTTTATAGACGACAAGAATAAGTCAAACAAAAAAAATGTGTGATCTTCTGATGCTTTGCTCTTACCATTGGGCTCACCATAAATTCCCTAGTGTTTGATACAAAGTCTCTCTTCTTACTCTAATATCAATCCCTAGTTAGCTCTCGCTTCTCATATCCTTATCTTACTAAGGACGTCTACCAAATCCTTCAGTCTACCGCAAGCACATTACGACAGATACTTCTCGTCCTCACGTACAAAGACCGCAGTCGGGACCTCATTGTCATTGATCACGAGGTGCAGACCTATTTAGGATCTCAACTCCCTCCTTCTCCTCCTTTACACGAACGACCTCGACTCTTCCATCTTTCTCGAGCTACTAGGCGACGTTCATCATGGAACTTACAGAAGAAACCCCATTCCATGTTACTAGCTAGTTCTTTCTTAAAGAAAAAAGTGCATTCATTTCAAGATTCATAGTACAAAGAAAGGAAGAGAAAGAAAGAAAGATAGAAAGAAATCGAGGAATCGAGGTCCTTTATCTCTTTCTTTCATATCAAACTCCTAAGGCGGTCACAACTGGTAGAAAACTATTTCGTGAAAGATATCCCTACTGTTTCTACTTGACAACGTAACTTTTCGCGTCGGCCCCTTTCTCGACGAGGACGTGAACGATCTCTTCATATCCTTCAGAAACGGCAGCAGTAAGAGCGCTCCCGTAGTTTCCACTCGATAACTTAAGGTTCGGGTCGGCCCCGTTCTCAATAAGGACTTCAACTATCTCTTTCTTTCCTTTAGAAGCAGCAGCAGCGAGAGCGCTCTCGTAGTTTCCACTCGGTAATATAAGGTTTACGTCGGCCCCGTTCTCGATAAGCACTTCAACTATCTCTTTATATCCTCCCCAAGCGGCAGCAACAGCGAGAGCGCTCCCGTAGTTTCCACTCGATGACTTAAGGTTCGGGTCGGCCCCGTTCTCGATAAGGACTTCAACTATCTCTTTCTTTCCTTTAGAAGCGGCAGCAGCGAGAGCGCTCCCGTAGTTTCCACTCGATAACTTAAGGTTCGGGTCGGCCCCGTTCTCGAAAAGGAGTTCAACTATCTCTTTATATCCTCCAGCAGCGGCAGCAACGAGAGCGCTTCTGTAATAGCCACTCGTTGAAACGCGGTTCGTTTCTATCCCTCGTTTTATAAGTGTCTCACAGATAGGTTTACAACCTGCCATGGCAGCAAGTTCCAAGAGAGTTCTGCCATCCCCGCTGGTTTGTGAGACTGTGACTTCCGCGTTGTCCCACCAGTCCCGTAAGAGAATGTAGAACGAGAAGCGGCACATAGCGCAAATTGTGACCTCTTCTGGAGATATTTCCCACTTGCTGATCTTCCACGAGAAACTCGACGGTAGGATGTTAGAATGGAAATCAAGGCTACGATACCAGGCGCGGTATTGAAAACTGCTCTCGCCGGGAGAACCAAGAAAACTCTTCAAAAGCTTCGCTAAAAAAGGGTCTGCTTCTTGCCCTTCTTTGCTGATTTGTTCTTCGTATGTTCTAACATGATTCACCCAGTGATATCGCACATATGTTTCCCACGGATGAACGAGACCAAGCTTGTTCGGTGATTTCATGTTATGCTTGTCGCCTGAGCTTTTTTCAACGCTTTCGTAGGTCGGGTTCTCATACGGCTCAATTAGAAGCTTGAGACACACTTGAGCAGCATGACAATGAGCCTGCCGAAGACCCCAGTGGTTGACTTCAAAGTATTCCACTACTGACAGGTGCGAGAACCTCCAAACCTTTCTCTGAGAGTCAAAAAGAAGAAGGTTCTTGCATAGATCTAGTAACTCTGATTCGGTGATCTCCTTTTCAGAGTTGATGGAATTTGTGTCGGAATCAATGCGAATTGCGGACAAAAGCTCATCGCTGCTGAGAGGTGTGCAGGCACTCATCACCCACTTGCACGCGCGATCCACGAGGGCCTTCCAATGCTGAGTTTTCGCAATATTTCCGTATATCTCATCGTATGCTTCTTTGAGACCAATCGGAAGTCTCCCAAGCCTATCCCGGATGTCTAATTCAGTTGGCAATTCAAGCACCTGTTTAATCTGTAGGTACGCCCACTGGAACCTGCCTTCTATGAGCTAAATCCTGAAAACCCCTCAACCAAGCGGAACTTACATTCCGTCACTGCCTTCACAGAGGATTCTGACGATGTCGCTCCGCAGTGATGGGGATATCGGCATCCATTGTCTAGGCTTGTCTATTTCGGCATTGACAAATTTCTCAATGTCACCTTGATTATTTATCGCGCGGATCTCAATGCTCTTGCCAGAGAACTGCGTCTTGATATCAAAGTCGGGTCGACTTGAGATGAAGACCTTGAGCGGCTGATCAGATTTGGATACTAGGTCCTGGATCACATTGATGAGACGCCAGCGCTGCTCCTTATCACATTCGTCCAGGGCATCGATAATGATGGTGGTGTGAGAGTACCCATTTACCGATTCCAGTATTTGAATCTTGCATGCCTCGAAACCAAGGTGAGATCCCTGACGTCTCGCTTCATCGCTGACGGACTGGAGCCTTTTCCGTATATGTCCAGTACTTCCAACAGCGGTTGAGAGTTGGCGAACGTAGCTTTGAAGGACGCAAAGAGGATCGCTTTGATTCTTTTCATTCCGATTGCAATAGAAATATGCGAAACCCGCATGGGTTGGTGAGCTTTTAAGCAGATCCTGAACATGGTCGATTACCCTGGAAGTGAGGTATGTTTTCCCGGCTCCCATTAGAAATGTTAACGTCACGGAAGTCTAAAATAATGGCCTTCGTGCGCTTACTCGAGCCTTGGAGCCACAGAACTGCCGATGACTTCAAGTCCCACCATTTACAAAAGTCTCCTTTTTGCAGCAACCACTCGCATGTGCCGGGAGTTCGAGACTCTGCTCTAAGAATATGATGCTTTCCATATGGTATTGGCGAGATCCATTCTAGAATCTCGCGCTCAGCATTGGCATCTATCCGTTCCAGAACCAATTCTCTTCCGATATCATTAGCATTGACTTCCTTATAAGTATTTCCATCACTTACACCTGGTGCTGAATGATAGGGATCTCCGCTGCGAGGTTGAGAAGCTCTCTCAGATCAGATCGACTTGATAGATCACAAGATTTCTCACAGTCGTCTGCGGCTTGCAGTAACTGCTTTTCACTTCCAGAAAGCTTGTCGATATGGCTTCGCGCAATTTCGAGCTTGAATACAGCATCTATCTTGGCCTTGCTCTGCTGGCGTCTTACCATGAAGGCAAGGAATGACTGTACTCCAGCATAAGTATGAACAATGATTGCGCTCAATTTACCCAAGATGTCTTCAGGCGGGCGGAGAGCGGGATCTGGAGCCATATATAATTGTTGGTACATATCACATCGTACGAGCAGCGAAGCGACATCGGCAATTCCAGTGAGGACAAACCCTTTTAACTCGTGGTGTGCAGTCAAAATCTAAAGTAGTCAGCTTCATTGTTGAAACAAATAGATTATCCGAGGTCCGTATTGTCCAGATGCAATGCGCTCGAACTTATGGTCTGCTTACCACGATAACAGATCGAACAGCAGCCCATGGCAGGGCAGCATGAACAGGGTCAAAGCTGACAGCGACATCTCCGACGGAAAGAAACTTGTTCAATATCGATAAAAAGTTGTCCATAGGTGTCGTTCTGTTTATCAGTAGGTGATTTTACTTCTGTATGAAGAGATCAACGTAGCAAAGCCCCTTTTATAGACGATAAGAATGAGTCAAACAGGAAAATTTGTGACCTTTCTAAGGGTGCTTTGCTCTCGTCATTGGGTTCGCCATAAATTCCCAAGTGTTTGATACAAGTCTCATTTCTCACTTTGATCTCAATCCTCGGCTAGCTCTCACTTCTCATGGCATTCTCATAGCCTCACCATACCAAGGACATCTACCAAGGCTTTGAGTTTATCCCAAGTCAATTACGACGAATCTTTCTCATCCCATGCGAAGACCACAGTCGGGATCTCTCAGACCACGAAGTAGAGATCTCTTTATTCTCTCAATTCCCCTTCTTCTCCTCATTCTCCTTTACACGAAAGACCTTGACTCTTCCATCTTTCTTGAACCACTTCGCGACATTCATCATGGAACTTACAGAAGAAACCCCATTCCAAAGGTAACAAATTCATTTCTTCCTTTACCCTGTGCAAGCGCTGATGACCGAAAAAGCATGTACAGCGAAAAGCCGATTAAGGCCGTTGTTGGGGGAGGCAAGACCATTTTCTACATCCATCCCGGTGCCCTGCTTCAAGGCTCGTCTGCGTTGACCGCCAGAGTGACTGGGTCATGGAAAACTGCCGGGCAAGAAACACTGGATTGGTCCGATTTCGATGAAGAAACCATGAATTGCGTCTTGAAGTTTTGCTATACTCGCGAATACAATGTCCCACAACATTCGTGTTCAAGCAAGGGAGAAGCAGCACCAGAAAAATCAGCAGTATCACCTGCTGAAGATAGTATGTCTACCGGACTTTTAACAGCTCGGCGCTCAGCCTACTGACTACTTCTCTAGATGCTAGGTCTGGCTCCCCTCCGATGGGCCGAAACCACAATGGGGAAGCTATTGTGATACATGCAAAGGTCTACTCATTTGCTCATCGTTATCTTGTGGGTAACCTACAAGACTACGCCCTTTTTCAAATGAGAATTTGTTTGAACGCCTTACTCGGAGAGCACACCATTTCATACTGCCCAAATCATATCTACATAAAAGACGCGATTCAAATCATCTACGGCAGCACAATCTCACGGGAGGAGATTGGCATGGATCCTGCTCGCAGGGAGCTTTGCAACTTCGTTGCCACTTCCCCTGGGGACTTCCGCCTCCATTTTGTCACGCCCCAGGAAGAGAATGGGGAGTTTATGGTTGACTTAGCTTTCCGGCTTTCGGGTCGGCTTGCTGACTTTGAGTATTCCAACTCTGTCTTGGAAAAGAAAACAGGGACAAAAAGACGAAGAAATCGCTGAGATAGAGGGTCACTACTCGCCTCAACAACCGCAGGATCCCCGGATTTACTTTAACTAGTCAATATACACCTAGCTAGGATTCAAACAATTGCTAGTCAGATTGATTTGCTGGATTTATTTGCTCTACCATGAGTGATATGCAGAACCCTTTCAGCGTACGTACATCATCGAACTCTGCTGTTGCTAAGTTACCTCTGTAAAGTGAAAGAAACGGCAACTGAGAATAATACGGGCCGGATGGACAGAATAGCCTTTGGCCTACTCCTTTTTATTTACTTTTCAAGTGCAGTTACATATTTTTTGAAGGAAAAAAAGTATACACAAAACAGCTTTAAATTAATGTGAAATTGACAAACGACGCCTATTATACAGGTATCTATACACACATGATCTTTCCACGGGGTTCCATGGTACCATCAATTGTATAGTTCATTATGTTTGCCATGTATGTAGTTTTCATGGTGATGTTTGGATTCTTTCCTCTCTCTTTATTATCTACATGGATCCTCTTCATTCAACATAGGCTCTGTTCATTCCGCTGGCCTTTTTAATTGACTGCTGGGATATGTAACGGAGAAGAACTCTGTGTGGCATTCATCATGGGCTCGGTAAATGGGCAACCATTTGAAAGGTACATACATACTGACATCATTTCATCTCCATGGCCTCAGTCCAATACTAATAGCCGAAAAGCGTTTTTGCAGATGCCCCAATGAAGGCTATTGTTGGCAAAAGCAAAACCATCTTCTATGTCCATCCCGGTGTCTTGCGGCAGGGCATATCTGCGTTGACTGCTATGGTGGCCGGGCCATGGCATAAGGCCGGAGAAAAAGTAATAGACTGGTCCTGTTTTGATGAAGAAACTATTAACTGTGTCCTGGGATTTTGTTACGGTCAACGGCCATATTGTATCCCATGGCAGTCAGCTATCAACAATGGAGAGTCCGTACCAGAGTCAGTATTAACAAAATCAGATGCCGAGGAAGGTAGGTCTACCAAAAGCTTCCAATGTTCGAAAGCTCCAGGGATCAGTTCTCAACTTACTCATTATTGTTTCTCTTTGCCTAGATGCTGAGCCTAAATCCTCGCCTACCATCCGAAGCTACACGGGGGATGCTATTGTACTGCATGCAAAAGTCTATTCATTCGCCCATCATTACCTCGTTGATGATCTACAAAGCTTTGCCTTGATGCAGATGAAGGACTGCTTTGAGCCATGTCTAAAAGAATACAGCTCTTCTCCCAAAGCAACTTGTCGCTGTCTTGCAGACGCGATCCAGATCATCTATGGAAACACATTCTCGTCAAATAATAACGTGAATCCTGCTCGCAAACAAATATCTGGGTTTATTGCCGCCTCCTATGATAAGCTAAGTCACTATTTTGCTCACTTTCATGAAGATACTGGGACCTTCATGATTGACCTAGCTTTCGAGTTGTCGAGACTGCTCCAGTCAATGAAGGCTGACCTTATAAGCAAGGAGTATCAAATTGATGCTCTTCTTCCTCCTGAACCAAAAAAACAAAGGTGTAAAATTCAGCCACTGCGCTAAACGCGCTTACAGAGGAACATGTGTGACTTGGCTCATTTAGCCATGCTTACTCCGATAATCCTTTCTTTCTTTCTTTTTGGCGCTCATGGAAGCTTGAGTTGGAAACTTGCTGGTCATTGAAATTCGAAATTTGTGCGAGAGCTTTTGAGCATGGTATTAGACCCATATGAAAAGTTCACTTGTTTGCAACTTTTAATACTTAGATCTATACGAAAAGTCCATCGCAATTAAATAATATCTACATACCTACCTAGTGAGTTGGCTTATATCATGCATAAGAAATGACCTCGGGAGCTTCAATGCTATGTAATATAAAATGGTTCTTTTGCGCGAGACATATGCTGCACGTATAGTATAAAAGACCGAGACATCCTCCCGGACTTAGATTTACAGTTCTTACACGTTTACACGTCCGCAACGCTTTCTTGGGAAATAACCGGAAGATTCCAACTCGGCAACATTAGGATGGAGCTTAAAAGGGATAGTCGGTCATTAAATCACCGTAACCGGCCGAGCAAAGCAAGGGCCAAGCTCTCCGCCATAACGCGGACCTTGCTGCAGGGTTCTTCCGTCTCGACCTCTTCCACCCCGATTTGTGCCTCCAAGAGCTCCTGCTCTAGTCGCTGTTGCTCCACGACTTCGTCGTGCTCGTCCGTTTCCTCCTCCTGTTGGCTCCGTTCCATGAGCCGTCGGACCCACGTATTCACAGACGCGTGAGTCGATGACGACACGCTGGACGGAGTTGTCTCGAATGAAGCGGTAGATATATCGCTCTCGACCACCTCCAGCCGTGTCTCCCATGTGGATATGTCCGTGTCTGGCATGGTGATCCGTAGGAAGTCGGTCAGCCCGCCAACTACTTGAAGGGAGCTTAGGGGTTCTTCTTCTTCTTTTTGTTGGTTTTGCTGTTGTTGTTCTTCATGTTGTTGATGGAGTTGCTGTTCCCCTTCCTCGGGTGTCATCTCGACGGGGGCGCCATGAATGCGCACGAAAGAGTATTGTAGGAAGGGCTTGTCCTCGCCCCATTCACTTTTAGGATCTCGTCGATTTACAAGAACCACCCAACCCCCGCGTGGGATCTCTCCCAGCCGGACACTGCAGGGACTGTTGAGATCCGGCTCGGGGTCGAAGAAGCCCAGGGGAATGGGACGTACGCCCAATTCATCTGCCGCTGATGATGCCGTTTTAATGGACCGGGGTGGACTGTGGGGGCTCCCGTCACGGATAGGAGGGAACAACCACAGCCCCCAATTATAGGCGAATCGTAAGATCGCCTTGTCAGGTTGTATTTCTGGGCCCAGGGCTCGGAGGTATCCGAGGAATCGGATGGCGAAATCCCCCGCGGTTAACATGGTATTTTCCATACAGTAGTAGCTCGTATATCCAGTGCTAGAACCGTTCGTGCTGTCAAACATGAAGAGGCGTATCGTAGAAAAGACCGTAGGAGTGAAGGATGTGTGACTGGGACTAATCGTCAGGGACGAAGGAAGATATTCGCGACTGCGTAGACCAGCTAGGAAAGCGGAGGTCGAATAGATGGTTTTCGACTTTATGGTGTGGTTGGAGTCACTCTCACATTGTTTTAGTATATGCGAGTGGAAACGAGCTGATATATCGTCGTTCATATGGTCCGGCCGATGTACAAGGCAGATTTGTTTAAGGGATGTCGACTGCGCCAGGGCTGCTGCAAGATCACCGAAGCCCGACTCTGCGAATCGGGGCTGGTCAACACAGATACTCAGTACAGACACAGCCCGAAGCTCATCTGATCTTATAGCGGCGGTAATGATATGAGATGATAGGTTAAATACCACCCAGTTAAGTTGCTGACACGCCGCATATGCAACACGCAGGACCTGGCTGGAGAACATAAATGGACCAAGCCTGTAGGGTTCGTCTTCAAGTCTCTGCTGCAGTCTCCAACGGAACTGGGAAATAAGTTGAATGTTGACCACAGGCTTTTCTCTCTTCTGGAGGGGTCCGCGGGTGGGTTCCTGGGTGAGATCGAGCAGATCGTCAATCACACGGTCGATCTCTGCTGGGACTAGTGGTGGGGGCTCAGTCAGTGTGGTCCTGCTGGAGGATGGTGTTGACGCCTCTTTTGTATCAGGCGGCCGGTCGTCTGTTATAGTGTAGCCGACCATATAGTCTGGCGGCTTGACGGTAGACTTAGGAGGTCGAATGTCTGATAGGGCGATTAGCAGATGCGATGGATGGGACGGAGTCACTGACAGTTCCGGATGCTCGAGAGAACCCGTCTAGAAAGAGACGGACCAGGAGGAACCACCTCTGGCGGGACTAACTCTGATGGCCAGATATCTATCGTTTCCCCGTTAGCACAGGTAGCATCGTGCGGATTCCCCTGAGGAACGTACAATCCAAGGAGGTCGCATCCGCCTGCGGCCTCAGCTCCAGTTGTTCGACAATGTGTAGCGACTTCAGATCCGACCAGTGGTAATACTCCCCTATCCACTGAAAGATCGATAGCAGCTCTCGGGGACGCGGAAGGTCCAGGACCACATCCGGCTCCTGGGCTGGTGGAGGGTCTTCGACAGGATCCCAGCCCCCCGTGTCGCTGTGCCACGAAAGCTGGGCCATGTAGCGCATGTTGAACGCCGCAATGCCATACTTAACACCGCTATTTAGATCAGAGATATCTAGCACGATGAGGCCATACTCTTTGCAGTCGCCCCGGAATACCGTCGACAGCGGCTGGAACTGGACGTCGCCGATGCGGGTCCAGTATCTGTGGTCGCCCCGTAGCAACGCCAGTAGTAAGCACGTCGCAGTGAAGGGAAACGTGCGGACTGCCTCATCCCGCCATGGCAGTGCTGGCAGTGGTTCCACGCGCAACCGACGCTTGCTCGGAGGCACATAAAGGGGCTGCGGGCGATCAGGCACACTGGGCCGTTCATTAACAGGAGGCTCGTGAGAGCGACGATACCAGTCCTCCGCGATCGCCTTCTCCGCCTCAAGCGGGGCGCGGTTGGCAGGATCTGAGAGAATCGCGATCAGCGCGAGGGTGTCGGCCGCCATGTGCTCCACTCGTGTCCCTGATCCTCTTGCGTTGTATTTCTCAGGGTGCTGGCGGTAGGCCACGGAGAGGGTGCGACTGACGCCGCCGGAGCCGACATTGGCGACCATCGCAAAGAGGTAGGAACGCTGGATCTTGTAGTCAACACTGATATAGCCCGACCTCATTGTGTTGGAGCCGTTAGGAATGAGGAAATGGTGTCCGTCTGGGGGCAAAGAGCAAAAGAGGGGCCGGTCTTGGCCAAGGAACCAGCGACAATCAAGTTTTTATATTGGCCACTGTCAGGAGAAAAAAACATATATGCTGCGTGATTGACTCATGACCAGCCCGCCGGGAGGCCACAGCCGACCAGAATCATCTAATAGACCACGATCTTTACCACGAATTTATGAACAAACTTAGGGACAAGGACAGGGACAGACAAATTGGTATTATCTGTAACTATCGACCCGCGCGCATATAGGGAATACAAAGGATTGGTTCGAGGACATGGTCGAATAACTTTAGTTAACAATCGCTACTCAGAAAAGGCCCTACCCTCTGGGGTATGGTTCCCTGCGGTCTAAGAGCCAGAGAAGGGCGATGGTATCGTGAAGATGATATATTTGACTTAACGCCTGCTAGAACCGACTATGGCCTTAGAGTCTCTGGCGAAAGATTAGGTGGGAAGCGGTAAGTCTAGAAAGAGATTTGAGGTTGGGAACCACCTATCGTTAAAACATGCTGACGGGGCTCAAGATTGCGTAGTATCTTCCCAGGAGGGACTGAAAAAACTGCTGCAATCGTCTATTGAAGAAATGAAGGCCCTCAAGGCTCTGCGGATCGCCGCAGATGAGAGAATCAGGTCCCTCCCGCAGATCTTGGGACATAACATTCTTCCTGGAGTATGAGGAAAAAGCACTTGGACTTGATGACTCTGGACATCAAAATATACTCTCAATATACCTTGCCTTTGGATGTTCTGAAGACATGGTAAAAAGACGGTATAATATCGGTATAATATCGGTATAAATTGGGTATGGGTTGAAGGAGAGAAGAAAGAGAGGTTGTAAAAACAGGAGTATTGAGAATGTGGAGAGGCGGTACATCCTGCGACCAAAAGATTTAAGTATATGATGTTAAGACTTAACACTCCAGGGCTAGTGAATATAACGGAAATCGAAAACTTTAATGCCATGAGAAATATCGACTAGGCCGCCTATTTGGAGGCCGGATCTATTGTCGCCTGTAGAGCAGCCTCATCATCCTCTAACTGGACCCATCGGACTGATAAAGGAGTTGCGGAAGGACTAGGATATATAGGTGGGTATATTGTGCTATTTCTTGTGCTGAACTGCTTATTGGCTGACCTGGTCAAAGATTTCGTTTATCATTATTGCGAGAATGTAAGCAAAGCGGATTGTCCGGTGTATGTAGTTGCAACAGACTCTAGAACGTTATAGTCTGTTAGACTGGACAATGACTCTATGGTATGTTTGTTCAATTGGTCTTACTTGATTGAAGAGTTACATTCCAATACCTTCTAGTCGGTCACCGTAATGCTGGATTCTCGACTGGATCTAGAAAATGCATTCAGTTTAATTGGTTTCTGTCTTGAAAGAAGCAATTATCGTCCTATCGATACAACCGAACGAACCATCAACGCAAAGAACCATCAACGCAATCTGATTGAGGTGAAGGATCTGCCGAGCCCCTCGTCGACCACGTAACCTTGAAAGAGTTTGTAACCAGGAGCAATTCCGTAATGCTCAGCACCTCCGTAACTTTCGGCCTAATCTCCAGATGGACGTCCTAACAGAAGGGCGGAGCGAAATATGATGCGCATCTCATAATATGTTGAGATGTCGGTGTGACTTTCTAATAGTTGCGCACTTTCGAAGTCAAGAAGAGTTACCACACGACTATCTCTGTCATAGAGAATATTGTGCTGTCCAGGATCATCAAGTCGGAAGCCCACTTGTCGCAA